TTTGGCACAGATGTTTTATATGGTGCACTACAAGTTTTCTAAAGATATATGGATACAGTATGGGAAATTAAAGGAAAAAGACAATCTGAACACCTTAGAGAGTGAAATGCAAATCTGGAAATTTAGATATATTTTTAAAATAATAATAATCAAATTTCAAAGTATGGGCATCTTGAGGTATAACTTCTTACATCTGTCTGTCAAAATTAACGTGTTCTAGCTGTTCAGTTATGCTCTTAGAGTTAAAGAACACAGGATTCAGATGTTCAGAAACCACTGGATGACCAACACATGACACATGTCATGTCACACTCTCATACAAAAAAAATAATGTTACACTGCTATTTTTGACCAAAATCCTAATCAGAATTTTAGACTTCTTCATTTTCCTTCTACTTATATGGTCCCATTAGATTATTAGTTTGTGATTACTAGGTAAGTAATGGGCTTAATTAATTTGTTTCCATATTTAAAATATAGTTGATAGTTTTCATAGCCACTCGACTAAATTTACAACAATTTGCTTCCAGAAAATAATAAAGGAAACTATTTGAAATCTTTAAATATCAAACTGGCTTGATTATACTAATCAGAAAGTTGTACGATCATTAGTTACAATCTTCTTGCTGAAATTGTGCTATAATAAATATTAAAGTGTTGTATTTATCCATTTTGTTGGGCAATTAGCATTAAGTGCAGCAACATATTGGGAAACAGCAATTTAAAATGCCAAAAATTGCTACACTAGCATTGTGGACAGTCCTTTGGAGATTTCGAGCTGTATGGTGAATGCAAATTTTGATGGGTCATTAGTTTTCATTAATGATAGCTTGAGTATTTATGGAAGACAACTATGTACTGTACTTAGAACTGGGCAAATTGCCTAGATATATTTCATATATTAATGCTAATGTAATGAATGGTGTTACAGCAATTAGAAGACTGATGACTTGGAAAATTAAGGTGTATGTATCTGAAGTTTCCTGATTGAAGCAGCCCCTTCAATTTAACAATCACTTTCAGAGAAGTCGCAGTTCCCACCACCTGAGTTACTAGAAATGCATTATGGTGTTACTTTCTAAAGTTTGTTTAGGAAGAAAGAAAAAAAAATCAACTAACATATCAGCCAACCACATAACAAAGGTAGCATGAAGGTATCTTGTTAACGAATGAACTAAAGTGTTCTGCCAAAAATGAAAAGCCATCACTGTTTTGATTGATAATACACCTTGAAGGCTGCATTAAATACCATTTCTGTTCAAAAGATATAGTTTTAACATCTACACTCCCACTGAGAAGTTGTATCTCTGATTTTGTTGGACTGCTGATATTTTTTCAGTTAATTTCAATAGAAATAGCATTTACACATAGAATCATTCAGTATATGAAATTACTATATTTTATATTAAGTAGGACAAGAGAAACACTAACACCTACCACCATAGAACACATCCTTTGAGGTTTCTACCTCAAAGGTATTTATTGTAAAAAATCACCAATGCACAACAAATCACATCTTCATTATACAATCTACATAGTAATCCTATTAGTTTAATTAGTTTAATTTTGTAGTTTTATGTAAACCGTATTTCTGTGAGGAGCTGATATGAAATGAACTCAAGCATCTGTGACAGACGACTTTGCAGCTACCAGGAAAAGTGCAAAAATCTGATATGGAATATCATACTTTAAACTCAGGTGAACCTTAACAAAAGCACGGAAAGCATTTTCAAGATTAAGAAAATGAGAAAAAGTATACCACTGTATCACACAGTAGAATCAGAGATTCTCTCACAAGGAACATCACATGTTTCCAAAATGATAGAAATATTTGTTATCAACTCATAAATGGTGTTAGTAGCAGGTGTTAAAATTATGCAGGAAACAGAGGGCTGTGAATCAGAGAAGCTGGTAAACGATCAGAAGAAACTTCACAGGATTTAAGCAAAATAAAATGATTCCTTAATATAGCAGCAGAAGAAAATTACCATTGACCAAATGTCAGACAATAAACAGTGTGAGGTACTAAACAAAAGCACTAATGCATATTTCTGAATAGTGATTTAATTAAAAATAGCTGCTGTTCCATTCACATGCACTGAATGCACTTTTGGAGAAAAAGTAGACTTGTAAATAGAATTTCATCATGGGCATATGGCAGCACCTTAGTAATACAAAAAGGTAATAGGATAAATTAAACTTTATATGCTTAAGGTCATGGAAAAAAATAGTAATTTGGGGCATATTAAAATGCTTTACTTTCTAAAGGAATATAACTTTCACTATACATATATCACGCATCAAGATATGTAGGCAAAGGCAGGAATCAAAGGACTAGGAATTCTGGAGCGTAGTCTATGGAAAAATAAATATGACCGACACTTGAACAGGAGAACAATAATCAGAAGAAATAAAGTACAGGAAGATGTGTTGTTTCCATTTACTTTGAAGATGGACCTGAGAGCCACTCTGACATCAACATTTTTATTATTCTTTCATGCCAAGGAAGGGATGTGTCTCATGTTCCATCTGTATGCTACCACTAAAGGATCTAATAGTAAGAAAATTACTTAAAGGCTAGACAGGACTAAACAACAGTAAATATCCAAAGCAATAGCAATTAACTTCCAAACAGTTTACAATGGTTAGCTAGGAAAAAAAAACTTCAAGAATTTAAACTGTAAGACATAACAAAACATCTTGGAAATTTTCTGTGCCTTCTGTAAAGACTATAGCTTAATCTCAGATCAGATTATAGTCACTTCATAAGCAAAACCACCTCACCCTTTCTTTCTGTTTTAGCTGTTTAGCTCAAAAAAAGCTCTAATGATCAAAAACAACTGATCAGTGTATTATGATCGAGGCAAGACTACTCTAGATTCTGAAAATATTGAACTCCATCTCTTCTTTCTGCCCAATGGAAACATAAATCAACAATGACACAATCATATACATAACATATTAAATAAATAAAATTAAGCTGTCTAAAATACTAGTTTTACTTGGAGAAATACCTAATACCAAAAACTATTTGATTTGTTTTATACCAATGTTTGTGTACAAGAATCTGATGTAAAGAACTTCAGGAAAACAAATGGCATCATGTGTTGCTACAGTATCTTCCACAACATAAAACCATACAAGAGAAATGAATGAGGAATTTTCATGTTTTTCAATCAGTGCATTTCAGACTGTAAGCTACAGTGTATACTACAATACTTCAGTGTCTTATTGCATTTTTATCATAACTGGTTCCTAAATAAGAGATAAAACCAGAAAGCAGAACAAACAGAAAATCTCAAACACATCACGTGTTTAACAGTTTCAAGTAGGAAGACTTGCCATCACACAAAAATAAAGAATCCTAAACTGCTGTCTCAGAGAATCATAAAATTGCCCAAGTTGGAAGGGACATCAAAGGCCATCAAGATCCAATTATCCAGCTGCAGGCAGGGTTACGAACTGCTAGATCAAGTACTAGACCAGGTTGCCCAGGATCCCATCCAACCTGGCCTTATGTACTTCCAAGGACAGTGCATCCAAAACCTCCCTGGGCAACCTGTCCCAATGCCTAACCACCCTCTCAGTGAAAAGCTTCCCCCAACATATAATCTAAATCTTCTCTCCTTTAGTTTAAAACCATTCCCCCTTGACATATCACTGCTTAACCATGTAAAAAATTGATTTCCCAGTTTATAACCTCCTTTGAAATACTGGATGGTCATAAAGAGGTCTCCCTAAAGCCTTCTCTTCTCCAAACTGAACTAGCCCAACTCCTGCAGTCTATCTTTGTAGGACAGACTTCCATCTCTCTCATCATTTTGTGGTCCTCCTCTGGACTCATTCCAAAACCTTGATTTCTTTCCTGTGCTGGGGGCCCCAGGCCTGGACACAACATTCCAGATGTGGCCTCATGCTTAAAAACTAAGCTGCAGGATTACTTGCCTTTCCACACTGGCAAAAACTCAGCTACTTTCACATAAACAAGCACAAAATATTTCTTCAGATGATAGCTATAAACTCTTTATTCTATATTCCAGATGGACCATCACTCTTGTAGCTTCTGTGAATCACGGATAAAGACTTGATAGCATAGATATTTCAGTGACAGTAAGAACAAATATTTTTTACAGCACCTCATATTAAAGACCTCCAATAACTCCCTGAAGATCATCTACTCATTTAATTTTGAGTTACAATCTAATCAATGAAAGACAATTTTTCCGTATTAACATTCATAACTCCTTCTGACACAAAACTTGCTTTTGTTTATGAACGTATATATAAAAACATCACCTCTCCAACTAATTTTGACAACATTTATGATTCAATACTTACTAAATATTTTCATAATAAAGTACTTTAAGCAGTTACTGCTTTAAAATACAACTTAACATACAGTGTGTGGATAATCTTTGGAGATCATTTAAAGTAATCTTCAAAAGCACACACGTGCATAGCTCATCAACTAAGCAAAGTACTTTTTAAAGGAGACTAGCAGATGATGAGTCAACCATATCAACAGAAGATCTAGATATCAGTAGAATTTCTCATAACTATCCCACAGCAATTAATGTCATTTTGAATTAAATTAGTACAAAGGTAAGAAAAGCATTTAGAGAAAAAGCAGAAAGTTTATATTGCTAGCAATCTTCAGAAGACTATAAAAGCACTAGTTCTGAGTCAGATTATAATTTAACACGCTATCCTTTTTTTTTTTTTTTAAATTTTTGGAATGTTTAAAAACATTTAAATCCCAATATTTCTAAGGTGCAATGGAGAAAAAAGCTTATTTTTCAACCAACTTAACAGAGCAGACATCTCAGAATCCAACTCTTCCATTTATGTAAACTTTTCTCACAAAAAAGTTTCACATGTACTGGGAGAATCATCTACAATAAAATACTAATGTTTGGTCTTTTTTTTTCCAAGTTTTTGTTGGTTCATAATTAATCACCATTCAGTTGTTTGAAAATCATTGCTATTACCACTGGACTTACCCATTATTGTTAAAGCTGTGGCTTTCGGTAAATCTTCTTTCATGGAGTCTATTATTTCAAGATTGCCACCATCCAGGTTGCATCTATTAATGGTTCCATTTCCTGAACTGATCCAGTAAAGTTTGTTCTCCACATAGTCTACTGATAAACCTGTAATTAATGTATACAACTTTAATTTTGGCTTTAATACCTAACATACACTTAACATTAAGTTTTTTTTCATAAAACAGTGTATTCAAGAAAATGTATACATGTAATTGTTATACACTCTTCATCAAGAAAACTAAATAAATTTGGTCATTTGTAGTGAAAACAACATTTTTCTTGAAATATTTCTGCCTTTTATTTCTCCAAACATCTGCAGAAATGAATCAGTGACTGATGAAAGGACCATCTGGCAATGAGATACTTGAAAGAGCCCAAGTCCTCAGAGAGGTCATTAACTACTAGGAAATGTCAACCAGAACCCAAAAATTCATTTTAAAGTTATGAACATTCAGACTTAAAAAAAAAAAAAAACAATCTATTTTGTGTGTGTGTTTTTAAGGACTAAAAAGCCCATTCTCTCCCTACGTATACAGTTCTTTTAAAATGCTGAAAAAATAAAAATACCACAACTTAATGTCTGTAACCAATATATTCGCAGTACACATTTTAATTTGGTTTTATAGTAAACTGATCTCGTGATCAGCTCTTTGGAGTTAGATGCAAGAAAACTTAGAAACACTTGCAAAAAAAACTACTAAATAAAGCAAACATATAATTCTCTAAAAGACAAAGAATTAAAAGATAATATATTTCAGATTCTCTAATCATTTACAAGTATTGAAGAAATTGCAGCAACAAATTTTCCACTGAGAAATATGCTTGGCATTGTAACAATACATAGCACAATAGTTCGCTTTTGTACTAGACTTTTCCCAGAACTCAAGCATTCAACATAAAACTGCCAAAAAATATTGAATTAGAAACTGCACAGCATAAGAACACTTCTATCCCATAATCTGCTTCTATGTAGAGAAATTTGGACAGGAGGAAGCAGTGCCATGTGCAGCAGTACTTAGAGCTGGTATCATGCCACTACTCCTCTACACACATTTGACATTGTAGGCCAAAAGGCTGCCACTTTGTAAGCTTTTCAAAAGCAGTTTTCCGTTTTCTTTAAAGCTACTGAGATTTCTTCCTCTCTGCAAGTGTGTAGGTTAGAGGATAAGCAACTCAAGCTAAAGGGAGGATAAGGATGAAGTTGCTTTGGCAGACGGATCTAGCAACATCTCTCTGCAAAGTGCTTTTCAGCTTGCACAATAAGCATTGATCCAAGTGAAAGGGTAGTGCCACATACTGTAGGGACAAGTAGAACTTGAGTACTTCAGCCTAGCACAGGAAACCATCCAGAGAACGTGGATGAACCCTGCCACTGAGTTATAAAGGTGCTACACAGGTACAAAGGTAGCCATACTACTGTATAGCAGTTGCTATTCCCTGTAACTCCTGACTGCTCACTGATTTCAGGCACAGAAATCTACTAATGATGTCTAAACATGCTATAAATGTTACTTATACAAAAATTACAATGTAATGTTCCCAGGTTTTCTATTATTTTAGTTATTAGAATAGTATTTCTATGCATGGGTATGCCAATTACACAGCATCAACTGATAGAAATATCAATCTCCTATCCAAGTTTCTTTTCCAGAACATTTTTCCTGTAGTGCTCTATTATTTCTAATGCAAAACAAAAACGCTTACTTTTTCCATTAATTTTCCTGGTTTTACTAATGAAAACAGGTGATTTGCTTAAGTGCCACAGTCTTCATGATACACTTTCACATGGATGGTTTACATCCTTTCTCAAGGCTGTCAAAGTGAACCTTATGTGCATTGTGGAAAAAAAAAATGTATTGTGTTAGCAGCTACCTGATGACAATACTGTGTGCAGAACAGAATACTGATTTGGAAGGACTCATCATTATTTGATCATCAAGACGTATGTCTCTGCATGCTTTGCTCTTCAGAAGACTGAGGTGTAAGGAAAACAGGCTCACTATCCTTGAAGACCTAAAATCACAAACTCAGAGTGCTTCATACAGCCCAGAATCATCAGCTAGATAAGAACTGCTACTGTTCATCAAGGTGAGCTCATACATCTGATAAATAATAAAGGGTATAAAAGAAAAACGGCAATGCAATTTTCTGGGAGAACAGCCATAGTGGTGACCTGCTCTAACATGCACCCTTCCTGCGTTAAACTAATCTGGAACAATTAATAATCCAAAGCATTGTCCAATTCCTCCTTTTAACACAACATTAAGCAGCAAGTGAATGGACTGAAGATTAGATGTTAGTGAGCTGAGAGTTTCCTAAAATTAAACTACATAGCTAAAATGAAGTCGGAAGAATAATTATGCAGATGGTATCTTCCTCACAAATAAAAAGTATTTACGTAGTTTAATATTATAAATTGTATATGTATGAGTTGAGATACAAACATTATTAACAATCAGTGAAATAAAAGATTTTTAAAAATTCTTCAGGGAGATAAGAGTTATCTCATTCTTTCCTTACTGGATTAAGAAAGATTTATCAGTTTATGTCTGTTTACAGTTCATGTATAAATAGTAATGTTTACAGAGATGTTTTTTTTCTTTACAGAGAGAGTGGTGAGGTGCTGGAACAGGCTGCCCAGAAAGACTGTGGATGCCTGGAGGTGTTCAAGGCCAGACTGGATGGGGCCCAGGGCAGCCTGATTTAGTATTAAATGTGGAGGTTGGTGGCCCTGTATGTGGCAGTGGGGTTGGAAATTCATGATCCTTGAGGTCCCTTCCAACCCAAGCCATTCTGAGATTCTGTGATGTGCTTAAAATTTGGAATACGTGCTAAACGTCCACATATATTCAAGAAATAATTTATTTTTTTAAATCTAAAATAAAATCTCAAGGGCCAATCTCAGTAAGATTTTTTGGTTTGCATGTGTGCTTGTTTGCAGAGTCCTCTGTATATAAAAAAGAAGAAATTAGCAAGTGATATTCAAATAATGAAACATACAAAAAATGAAACAAGAACCACTACAGTAGCAAATAGCAAAGTACTAAAATCATGACCCAAATGGAAACTTTAAGGTTATTTAGGATAAGGAATAAAACTCTGTGTAAAAAAAAAGCAAGAGCTCAATAACCAATAATTATGGAGCCTCTTGAATACAGCTGCCGATGTGATCCAGTATGTTTATTTACTTAGTTTTATCAAAGATCTTAAAAAAAAACTTTCTAGAAACAACACATTCCATGATGTAATAATATCTGATTTCTTAAAAATAATACTATAGATACATGGTTGTTTTTTTATAGCTTTATGACAAACTGTTTAACTGAAGATATCCATGATGAAGCAATTTGCCTCACAAATTACGACAGCCAAATATAGCACTAAACCTGAATCCCACAGCAAGTAATTTTTAAACTCCAGTGACTAGTTCTTTTTCAATTGATATGTCAGTTTCTGAACTGCAGAATGGATTATCAGGATCTATACAGTATGTCCCAGTTAAGACAAAAACACAACTTTGCAAAATTATCAGTTTCCAAGAACTCTGAACTATGCAATCTTGATGTTAATAAAACTGTCATCGTTCAACACAACTCAAAATGAGAGAAAACCTGAATATTTCTAACTCAGAGACTGAATTTTTTTATTCAGGAAAACTAAACAAAACATTTTCAGAGTATCAAACTCTCATAAGTCTTATCTTTTTATATAAATGAATTCACTTATTAGATCTCTCATGTAGATTCCCAAATACTCAAAACAAGCACTGCATGAGATTTATTTTTGCTTACAATAAAAATACAGTTTCTTGGTTTGAAACAAAAGGCCGCTCATGTTCTTCAGTGGTGTTTTCTTGATTTTTGTATGGAAAAATCTTATGCTAAAGATAAAAGTAATCAGGTATTTCATGTGGGTGGATATTTAGAGAATATTAGAAATTTAATGCTCGTTTTAACTATAGAACTGTCTATCTGTAAAACAATCTTATTTTCATCCTGACTAACAATAAAAATAAGCCAAGCTGTCTACTAATAATTAAATATTTCACTGATACTTTACTTGCTAACTTCATTTTCCCTTCACATGCATATAGATTATATAGAGAGACTTTACCTACTACCTACTTCATGACTTTGCACAGTTTCAGTTCGGCTATAAGAAGGGAGAAATGAATCTCTGGTCTTGTTATTATGCAAAAGAAATTTTCAATCTGGAATAACCTACTTCAAGTAACTGAGATCTCAAAGGTGTTAAATTAATCCAATACTACAGAAAAAATATCATCTCACTTGCAGTTCTGTGGTGAAGTAAAAAACTTATGTAGTAATCCTCGGTCTTGCAAGGCTTGCCAGAATGTTTAACTGCATGAATAGTTCATCTTATACCACTGAGACTGTATGTCCATGAAGAAAAATGTCACAAAACCTACACGGATTTGCACATGAAACCTTTGACCGTACTGATATACTTACAGAAGAAAAAACAAAAAAAAGTACTTACCACTCTACCAGGTATTTGGTTCAGTGGCTTTACTGCTACTCAGAACAAATTCAATGACAGAAACCATAAGTACTGCAATTTAGGACCTTGTGACCCGTGATCACATGATGTTCAGTGCAATAGACTGCACACAGCCTTACTTAGTATTGTCCAAATATTATTATATGAGGATATGCTTCATATCAAAATTACTGATTTTACCACTTTTTTCCTCCAAATAAATAGACAACTGTCTTTATAGCTGCACATTTGTAGCATCAAATTAAACATACAGCAGTTGTCAGACATCCATTCAAATTAGCTCTAATGCCAAATTTATTTCACTAATGTTTTGTTTCTGCTTATGTATTCAGTTATGAAAAGTCAAATTCTTTAAAATTTAAAACACTTTATTGATAAGCCATTAATATAGCACAGACAATTGACACAACTCCTTTAACTCCCTTAAAAAAAGAAATCAAAAAGAAAGGTAACTGTATGAAAACAAAAAACAATATGCATGGAAAGGATATAGTTTTCCAGAGAATGCTATAACTTAATTATTCTTAATTATATCAATTATCAGATCTTAAAAATGAGGTTTAGTCATTGTTACAAATTAAACACTTCAACTTCTGCTCCTTTCTATAAAAAAAAAATAAATATTAAAGTTATCTTCCCATTATTTCAGATTTCATTGAGAAAGTTCCACAGTTCTAGTTAAAGAATCCTCTCACGTGGATTTAATTGATTAAACCCTTGCTCTCTAAACTCTTTTTCTCATGAACTAAAGATGGAAAGACACAGTCGGTTCTAGTTCACCTTCAGCCTAAATAACTGCTCTAGTGCTAGAAGTTAACAATAGAATACTTGATCCATTATAGTGGATTTCCATTCAACCAGAATTGGTCAAAGCACCTCAAATGGTAAAACACAAGTGTCAGTGTTTACCATGTCTTTGTGCATGCTCTTTTTACTGTGTCATATTATGACAAAGCATTCCAAGATAATGCTTATACTAAAGTACTGTTGATTAAGAAACAGAAATAATACTTACCAACAGGATCTTTTTGATTCTGAAAGAGGATTTTGCTGTTGCTGCCATCCATGTTAGCCATGTTAATTGTGTTTCCATCAGTCCAGTAGAGCTTACTGAAGAAAATAAACATTAAAAATGTTGCTCTGTGTACACAGCAATTTTAATGCACCAGCAGAGAAAACATGTTTGTAAGCTTAGAATTATGCAAAATATATAAGTAATGAGTATAGCATTTAATTAAAACCAGGTTTTGATGGAGAAGCAATATTCAGTTGAGAAATAATCAGAAAAGTCTTTTAAATGAATAAATCTAGGTCCAGTTTGAAAGAAAACAGAATGGGTAAATGAAAAATCTGAAAGAAGAAGAAATCTCCGGGTGAGGTTTGTGGCAGATTATTTTTTAAAATCAATCTTACCCTTTTACTGGGTGAACGGCAAGACACTGGGGTTTATCAATTCCATGGATGATTGAGGTTTTTAATGAACCATCTAAATGTGCCACATTAATTTGTGTTTCATCAAATTCTGAGCTAATCCAGTATAAGTTCCGTGATATCCAGTCCACTGCAAGACCTCTGATACTCTGAATATCTGCAAAAATTGACAGCAATACTATTGATATTTTTTCTAGACTACTCTCAGTCTTTGAGAAAAAGAAATTATTTCTCCTACTTTGTTTTAAACTAAATTTATGGAATATTCTAAGGAGATGCATTTTTTAAAATGATCGCCAACAATGAATAATCATTTTTTCCACTTCAGCTTGATACAATTGAAATAACATGGAAATAGTATTGGATTCAAGAAATCCCACTTAAATTCTCCTAAAAAATTACCATAAATCCTTTTGTCCAAAAATCACTATCAGACAGATGCTGTATTTTGTAGTGCATTTTTCTACTTAAGAATTTATTACTCACTACTACAGTATTTTTTAAAATTCAACTAGAAAGCTTAAAGATCACACTTCAGAAATATAAACATAAGAAGAAGCTTAATACTACTTTAAGTCATACTTAATGTATAGAACATTAAGAGACTTCCTACAACAAAACTATTATGAAGTTTAAAAACCTACTCCCTTCTTTATTGTCAGGCAGGCTCAATACAGAATGTGCTCATAGTATAGCACATAAATAGATCAGTAGCTACAATGAAAATGCTTTTTTTTATTATTATTATTGTTTCTGAAGCTGATATCTAATGTTCCTTTGATGATGTTAACTTCCTCCATAGGATTTGAGTGGGAAGAAATGATGAAGCAACAAACAGCTTAGGTTTGAAATACACCCAAAGCTTCACAAAAGCTGCAAGAAATCTACTTACATTCACGGATTAAGGCATAAAGTGTAGTAAATCAAGAGCCACTGGAGGAAGTTACTGTTGTTACTGAAGATATAATACTGAATATGAACTTAAAAACCAGGAAAAATGATGAAAAATTTCTGAAATAACGTATTTTAAGGCCTACTTTGCCCAACATAGACAGCTCTATCCAGAATCTATCACAATTTTTATTAAATGTGCAACAGCTTTCATGGAAGAACAATGGTTAGATTAGATGGTTATTAGATTAGATGGTTACAAGAACAGGCTCTGTAGCATTTAGGAAAAGCATGATTACTGGAAGGAGCAATCTGTGACATTAGGTAGCATTGGTAGACCACGAGTAAGATGCAGTTAATGAGATAGCTTCACAACCTCTTTGCATATAATTCCCTTCCTTAACAAGATATTATCGTTTTGAATCAATACCTGCCTTAGAAGCTAGGTGTAACATCACTGCTTAACTCCTAGATAGCAAAATGCTTCTTTGCCTCAGCACATCCCTTCATATTGCCGAGCATCTTGAGGAAGAAGGCCAAGCATGATTTCATTATGATTAATAGTTTGTAATATATTTCTTCATCAATTTAACTTGGTTATGTTGACTGACAGAATTATTGCCGCTGACCAACTAACATGGATGTTGCTACAGACTAGCCACATATATTTAAGGTTAAGTGGTTACATTAGGAACATCACAACTTTGACCCATTTGAAACTTATCCCCAACATTTTTAGTTTTTGGTTGGAAGAACTGAAAAACAAGGATTTCATATACTTAAGAAGATTAAACCATGACTTTAGTATCTTTGCAACAGTGGCATGAGACTTCCACCAACAGGAGTCCCACAGGTACACTCTTATAAAGCTTAAGATCTTATGAGAAATATAAAAATGACTGTTAGCAAATGAGATCATTTATGTATAATAAGTAGTCTTTATAATGTCAGAATGTGGTAATTTTTTAAGTTTTATCTACAATAAATTACACCTTTCATGAATATGATTATAATTACTCCACAGCAGAAGATAATATCAATTAAAAGAGATGAAATTATGAAATAATGCTAGATAATAGTTTAAAAATAATATAATAATAATGTTAACAGAAATGAGTCAGTTTCATTAAGCTTCCTTATGTTTCTTGGCAGTTTTTTTCCCAAATTCTCACTGTATACTTTACATAGTAAAACAATGATGCAATTCTAATCTCAATTAAAAAGAATTCTGTTATATCTCAATAAAAATAAAAATTTTAATAAAATTATACGTTCAAAAAATAAACTAGAATTCCAAACAAATTATTTTCCCTATTGTTTACATGCATTATTTAATGTCAGTGCAAAGGATACCTAACAAGAATTTTAACACGTATACATCAGCAAATTTAGAACACACACTTACCCGTTTGTATAATCAATGAATATACAGATCTTATAATTATGAAATAAACAGGAGAGCTTGGCTAAGCAGGTTATTATAACAAAAAGAGAATAAATAAGAGTGCTTAGCCTTGTCCTGGGCTCCCTGTAAAACTCCAAAGGAGGGATCTCCAGGAAGAGATCCTTCCCCACTGATAGTCAGCTCTTAAATAGGCCTAGGAGAGGTGGAGCCAGGCTTCACCCATTCCAGCAGCACAGGTGAATTGCCTTCACTTGTGCTCCCAGGGCTGACTCATTGCTTGCCTCAGGTGATCAATCAGAGGTTCAGGCCATGATGATTCAGCAGTTCCCATACATCCATGATTGTTTTCAATTCAATATTATGTTACTTACCTCTTGAAATAATAGTTTCTAAACCAGTGCCATTAATGAAGGCACGCTTGATGGTTTGTGTTTTCACATCAGTCCAATACAACCGCTCCTCAACAGCGTCAAAATCTATGACTGTCACATCATCAATGTCAGGAACAGTGAAGGCTGTAATAAAGTTGAAGTAGGGGTTGTCTATGTCTACTCCTCTTATTTCTGAACGTCTCACATAAAGAAGAAATTTCTTCCTTTCTGTTGGAAGATAAGAAAAAAAAAATCACCTCATCCCCTTCGCATCATTGCTAACAAGAGTACAAATCATTCATTTGCAAATGTGTAAATAATATTTGTATGAATGATTTAACATCTCCAGGAAACCTGCACTTAGTGTTATTTGAGAAATAAATTACATTACAGAGCATAAAAATAACAGGAAAAATATATCAATTCTGGGTACGGGACAAGATGTTCCTATGCTACTATATCAATACAGTCTAGCAAAGCTGTAAGGGAAGAGTTTAAACTTTGAACTTTTTACCCTAATAAAAAAAATTATTTGAATATCGTAACAGATGCAGACAATATCATTACAGATACTTGGTATTTCCAAGGGGGAGCAGACTATCAGTGTAACAAAGTTTTGCAAACAATACTCAGTAAAAATATCACAATGTAAGCATAAGCAGGAAAAGTCAAGGCAACAGGAAAAAAGAAAGCTCATTAAAACTTAGACATCCTCTAATTAAAAAAAAACAACAATAAAGCTGTTAAAAGCAAAACAAAACACTACTTTATCTCAGAAGTCTAAATTATTGAAGCAAAGGTCTGTGTATGAACTGTAAGGGTAACTTTATTACCACAATATTCTTGACACAATAAAATGTTTTTTCTTGAGGTTTCCTTCACATTATTAATAAACACTGATTAAAGTAATGCTTTACAGAGTTTTAAGAGATAGTGGGAACAATTTCTGGACATTTCTAGGGATTGACAATAAAGTGTTTAATTTATATATATATAAAGCTCTTCTTCAAATCTACGTCTAATATTTTCTTTTCATTTTACGTAGGTTGCTCCAAAAGTAATGCCTCCTATTTATTTCCACAGAAGCTACAACAGATACAGTGAGCACAGTAATGCAATTTGATAGAGCAAGTTCACAGCTGAAAAGCACTATTTTTCAAAATAGTCACCACCATTAGTTAATTTGTGCAGATGAGTTGGGTCAAGATGCTCTTCATTTAGACGTGCGACAGCTATGCATGACCACCCAGAACATGGCTTATCTTTCACGTAGCTGTCAGCCCTGCTGAAACCATCATCCACTGCCTCCCTGTGCTCACATCCATTCGTTGATCTCCATAAACATTCAGCAAAGATTGATAAATGTCAATGAGTGTCATTTTTTTCCCATAGAGGAATTCAAGGACACACTTTTGCTCCATACGCACTTCCATTTCAGACACTGTTCTGTCAGACTGCCCCTCTGCTGCCATCTGTGGCACAGCAACAAAATTAAATAGAATACTGGTGACAAAGTTCAACCTCTGCCACCATACCACCAATATCTGCCTCTGATGCCATGGGCCAACATCATAAAATAGGAGGCATTACGTTTGAAACAGCCCTAGTTTTTTTTCTTAATCCTTGAAAGCAACACTTAGAAAATTTTAGAAGAACAGATAGAGACTAAAGCTTGTAAATATATTCTTGCTACTCAAGTTACTTGACTCATCATTTTCTGATGAACCTTACACTATTTTAAACATTTCTGTTAAATTCTGCTAACATATCATACATACAAGCAATAGATAAATTGTCTGTGGTAATAAATACTAAAGCTACACACATCCCATATATTGACCATAAGTTATTACTTATCAAAAACTAGATGCTTCTTTTTAAATCTATCATTAAAATGCTCTGTAGAGACTATTTCTAAGGCTATTTTAATTTGCCAAATTCAAAGACTTAAGATAATTGCCAGGTCACGGGAGAAAAACTTACCATAACATGTTTTCTTGTCTAAAGAAAGTTTCATCAGATGTGGACACGCACATGCAGCACTTCTGTTGTGATTGATCAGACACATGTGAGAACATGGACCTCTGCCCTCATTAGCAGCACATGGATTTGAAGCTAAAATTGTGTAACGAAATACACAAAATAAAAAAACAACCTTCAGAACTAGTCATTTTTCTTGCAGCACCACATTTCTTCTCATTATATTATGACTATCATCGTACTTATCCTAATTTGCTTCACTTGATTTTCACTGGAAACAAATGACAAGATTCTGTAAGAAGTTTTAACTCATTAACAGTTCAAGAACAACTTTTTTAACAAGAATTTGCTATCACAACTCTAGGAAACACTTTATTCACCTATATCTGAAGGAAAACAAAGATAATTAAACAATTATGAGAAATGCAATCGGGTAAAAATGTTCATTCCACTTTACAATACTAAAAACTGTTGGTAACTACATAATTTCTAATTGTTATGAATTACCCCTCCTTCAAATTTCTCACTGAAATTTACAGCTATTTGACAATTAAAAAGCTAACTGCTCAAAGTGTGATTATTTTAATATTAACATAATTTGATGACCTTATTCACTACTGGATCTCCTTTTTATAGACCAAAGAGGGTAAAAGCCTTATTCAGGTTTTTCTTTAGCATTCCTTGTTAAGGACAGTCTAAAGGTAAATGAAACTACAACTGCACCTACTTAGTAGCTGCTGCTAATATTACAGAAAGCTGTATGAGAATCTTCTGCTAACTTAACAATAATTGCTAGTGATGTGATTTTTTGGTGACATTAAAATTTGATTGTGAAATTTTAACTACCATGCTATCAACCTTGTTTCATTAGCTAGTGTAGGTATGTCAAATCTGTGAAAACTACGCTGGTTAGAAATGTAGAATATTCTGTTTGAAGAATCACTAAGACTATTGCGCATGTACTCTAATCTCTTTTTCCAGGCAAATAATGAAATAATAGACAGATTTTTATTTTTTATTTTTTAAATTACACCACCATTATCACTATAACTTCACCTGTAGAATCACAATGGCCTGGGTTGAAAAGGACCACAATGATCATCTAGTTTCAATCCCCCCTATGTGCAGGGTCACCAACCACATGATCAGGCTGCCCAGAGCCACATCCAGCCTGGCCTTGAATGCCTTCAGGGATGGGCATCCACAACCTTCTTGGGCAACCCGTTCCAGTGTGTCACCACTCTCTGTGTGAAAAACTTCCTCCTAATATCTAACCGAAACATCTCCTGTCTCGGTTTAAAACCACTCCCCCCTCTCCTATCACTATCTATCCATGTAAACAGTCATACCCTTTCCTGTTTAAATGGCTCCCTTCAAATATTGGAAGGCCACAATGAGGTCTCCCCAAAGCCTTTTCTTCTGCAAGCTAAACAAACCCAGTTCCCTCAACCTTCCATTATAGGAGAGGTGTTCCAGCCCTCTGATCATCTTAGCCCAAACCAAAAGAAAAATGGTCCTTTTCAGTGAGAAATGAATTTTGCAGTCTATTTATACCATTAAAATGTAAGCAATTGTACACTCCTAATCAGGAGGCATGGAATAAAAAAACATTGGTATAATGAAGACAAAAGCAGCATGTTTCATTTCGTTAAGTGTCAAGCCAGGTCTGTAAAGTGAATAAGTGAATTTCAGTGAATTCAATGCTCCCCCTTGATTTGATCTACACTTACTACATCAGTGAAAAACCTCATATGAAAAGATAATTTGAAATGCAAAATTATTTTTACTTTGTTCAAAGAAAAAAAAAACTTTCCTAAGTCGTTTTATTTCAAGCAACTTTATACCATTCTCCTCTAAATAAGATGTGCTGAAATTGCTTTTAAGAGCATGAAGTGAGATGACTGAGGACAGTGCTACAAAATCTTGAAACTATTCTTGTAGTCCTCATTCATTATTGCACATACACAGTTCCAGAGCACTCATATAGAGACATTCCAAACATGAACAGAAAATCAGAGTGATTTTTCCATTAAAAAAAAAGGAATAGCAATAACAAGAAAACAACATAGAAGATTAGCAGCAATGAACAGGGAAGCGTGATGAACTGACTCATCAAGACAAATCTCTAATTAACAAAATCAATTAGTTTGGAATATATTTCCTCAATGCTGCACTTGCCCACAATATAGTAATTAGCTAACTAGAAAAATTTGATGCTTGAATTTCTTTGGGAAATAGCTCACACTCAAGCACTAAAATCTGATGGCAAACTAAAACTAACTTAAACCATTTGCCTCTCTCATCAAGGCATGCTTCCTTAAATTGATCTACATCACTTGAATCCTTTAACTACTTATTTGTCTGACCAGAACTACAGGAGGAATGAAATCCTCAAAGCCTCAGATTAATGGATTACTTAAATTCTATCCAGCGTTTTTCATTATTCTATCATAAAGTCACAATCTTCTACACTTTTCTGACAAGTTTCTTTCCATCGCTGGCAGCTCTCTCCCAGTCTTTGCCATTTTTCCTGCTGTTCCAAGGCTTAATGAAGAAAACAAAAACAAACCATCTCACATCCTCTCTATAATTACTTCTGCATCTCTAACAAGACAGCTGGGTCAACAGGCATAAAAATATTAACTTGGTAATAGGAAGTTAAGGAGTTAATAGCTCCTTTGACTGCTAATGAACTATAAACTCCCTTTATCTTTATGTCATAACTATATTTGATTTTGTCTTTTCCAAAAATATAAAAATGTTTAATTTATCATCATTATCACTTCTCTTGTAACTATAGCAATAATGTGGAAAAATTGGGATTGTGAAGTGGGGCAGGGGTGAAGGAACTCATAGTTTACAACTTCATGTAAGAGACAGAAAAAGCAAACCTAAAAAAACAAATCGAAATTATGAAGATTCCATGAGCCCTTCAGGAGTTAATGGCTAATGGAATATTCATATTAGTAAATCATCTATCTCGGGAAATAAGTGATCAAAAACAAGATTTAGGGTTTTGACAACATTGTGAAGGATGTAATAAAAATAAGTATTGCAAGAGATCTCAGGAGATCATTCAGTGATCACTCACTGATTCGATCTGCATTTACCTGGCACTATTGCTGTCAGAGTTTAGCCACAGACTTCTTTTAGTTCAACTACGTTTACTTAAATAATTTTAATAGAACCTCCATCTCTTTGTATGCAAATATATACTTGGATATTACTATCTTGGATATTACATTTTACACTCCTCCGAAGTTGCTCTTTAAGCATAGAATTCAAATAAAACACCATACAGGAAAAATAAAAAGGAATACTAGTTATTGATCATCAAATCAATCAACTTCCATTCAAGATCTTTAAGTCCAACCATTATCCAAAAGGCAGAATTATGGTTGAAGTGTTCTAACAATCTGTGTACTATTTGTCCACATCAAAATTTATTCCTTTATACAGCATGGACTCGAAAACTTGTGGAAAAAATACAGTGCTATAAAGCAGACACATTTATGTCCACTCATGTGCAGAACTGGAAAAGTGTATCACCATAATCTAAAAATGATGCATGCCAGCACAGGTATATATTCCTTTCATATTTGTACCGCTTTCTCTGTGTAATTGCTAAGTCCATTCTTTACTTTTTAATAAAAAATCATTCTCTTGAAGGCAAAGAGGTATGCAATTGGCTCGACTATCAAAACTTTCTTTCATTCCCCAGTAGTAGCTCTAATCATTCTTTCTAATTCTATCACAAACAACCATATAACCATTCTTTACTTCCCTTCTCCATGCCACCTCGCATTTCACAGACTTCCATCATACAGAAACATATCTATAAGCTGTATTTCAAGAAGCAGCATTTTACCTGCCTTCATACAAAAATCTTTCCCACACTCTTGATCAGTCTGTCAAGCATGCTCAGAATCTTCCATATGATCTGTTTAAAGTATTTAAGATGTGGGAGTGCTGTGGATTTATAGAGCATCACAGTGCACTATTTGTGGTTCTTTACTCCTTACTAATTCTTTTCACCAATCCTTTTCTTTTGATCACTGCAATGCACAGAACCAGCATTGTTAACGAACTGGACAGCCTTTTGCACTACTTAATTGATTTACATTCCTGATTGCTTGTCAATCTACTTCTCTTACAGTACTGCACACAGTTGTGTCACCCTTTATCATATGACCTCTAGACTGCTGCCTAAAAAAATTATTAGAAAAACATTTATTTTTTTCTTCAGCAGTAACCCTTAAATAGCTGCAGACATTCTATCACCAGCTGACAAATGAAAGATTACCCTGACAGCTTCTGAATATGCATACAATGTGGACCAACTTATCCTCCACATTAGACTCTTTTTGAAGACTTTCCTTGGCATCAGATTGCAGCTAGAATTTTTTATTTATTTTTTGAACCCTTCTACTTTAAAAATACATAGAATCATAGAATTGCTCAGGTTGGTAAAGACCTTAAAGATTATCAAGTCCAGCCGCAAAACATGACTAAATACATGACTAAGTTCTTCCTACGCTTCCAAATATATGCACTTTACTTATATAAAAATGATACTTCTAAATTGCTGACAATCTACTCTCTATCTTATGAAAACCAATTATAGATCTAAGCCTCTGTTCACTTTCACTACTTCCTGTAACGTTGCTTTTCATGGTTCCAGAGATTCTTCCGCCATACTTGGTCAAGATAAAATACCTGTTTGTATCCAATTAATTCAGCATTAACCTTTAGAATTTACAAGCTAAGAACTGATCAGAAAATTGATTAGTTCTAAAATATACATTTATTGCCTATATTAATTATTTTAACTTCACATTTAATTGCTGAAAGAAATTAGCATACCATGGAATGTGTTCATACAATTTATATATTTGCTATGAAACAAAATAGACAGCAAGAATTGTGAGTAGCTTTAGTTGGCTTGGTTCTTCGTGATGCTGTACCGTATAAAGTATGATAGATTTATGGCAGTTCTGAAGCTCTTGTTAACAGATCTCTCTGCTTCTCCTTCCTCCCATCCATGCCCAAGCTTAGCCAACCAAAAGATTGGATTTCATTTGAAGCTAAATGAAATAAGGCTGCTCACATTTAAAAGTAAAAATTTCTCATTTCCCTTTCAAACAGAAGACCGTGAGAAAGCTGACAGCTACAGGAGAGTACACAGTTTGAGATGAAAGAGTACCAAAAAAAGAAAAAAACATAAAAAGAGAAAACTGAAATTAATGATACTAGCTTAACATCAGGAACAGAGTACATGGAGTGCCTGACTTTCAACAAACATACTGATATACTAAAACAGATAAGAAACGCACATGTAAAAGAATAGAAAACGGTTTAATAACAGGACACAAGTTATAAGGAAAAACCAAAGGCAGCAGTACTTTTAGTGGGTGCTATGAGTTACAAAAAACTTCACAAAAATTAGAAATTTACTGTTAAAGTATGAGAAAAGGGAGGGATTCTTTCCATTTTGGAAGTCTAACCTACATGTAATCTTATTTACTGTACATTGCCACAAATTCAGAAACATAGTTAAGATAGAATCCAGTAACATAATGATTTTCCTCCAGGTCTAATAAAATTTCACTTAACATACATTAGATCTATAGTAAGGAATTGCTTTCATCGAAAGAGTATTATTTAAATCAAACTCAGAATGCCACCGATAAATTGGAATATGGTATTTTCTACATCATAAAACTGCAACTATACAAGTTCATATTTTAATTTCTTGATACTGTTAAAATATGGTTTAAAACTTTTCTATGGTTCATACCTTTGCTAAGGCCAAGATATCTGTGACTATGGAATGCTGAATATCATCACCCTAGGCATCTGAGGTCTCTCTCTAAAGTCAGATAATCTCCCAAGACACTGCCTCACCCCAGTCCAAACAGAAAATAGCTGGTTGGTTTTTTGTTTTTTGTTTGTTTGTTTTTACCTCCTAACAGAAAGAAAAAGCTGACAGGAACTCTTCTGCTACCATGAAAACACTGAATATAGAACACAGGTCCTCAGACACCAAAGTGGAAAAAGTGACTAATTAAAGAAAATAGCAATAAACCATTACATTAAAGTGATACACAGGCGAATATTTCTTGCAAATGTAGCTTAATATGCTGGGTAAAAAATTCTAAGATAAACTGATAAAAATTTAAAATTAGTTTCTATTGCCATCAAATTTCTGGAACAGGTATTGAAATTTATCCAGAGACTACAAAACATTCCATGACTAATCGGTGTTTACCCTCCAGTGGTATTTTTACTTTCCTATATTTACATGGAAATTAATCACAGAATCATAGGATGGCTTGGGTTGGAAGGAACTTCAAGGATCATGAAGCTCTGACCCCCCTGCCACATGTAGGACCACCAACCCCCATATCTAACAATAGACCAGGCTGCCCAGAGACCCATCCAGCCTTACCTCAGACACCTCCAAGGACAGGGCACTCACAATTCAAGTCACTATCCTTATTAAAATTCAGATAGTATATTCACTATCTAAAGTTGCATACACATTTTACTTCACAGAAGAATTCATCTTCCTTTAGAAGCAAAGGACAACTAACACTCATGTTTGCTTTTGTCAGATGATCTCCTTTAGTTTAAAACAATATTTGGAAGCTTTTAAAATACGTATTGCTCTTCACTTCATTTTTATCAGATCAAGAACAAGATTCCAAATGGGCAATATTCACAGACACCAATCTTAATCTCATGTTTCTAGTTTGAATTCTATGTCCACTCAAGTACCGCTCATGCTAAAAATAACATTCAAATAAAAATAAATAGTTAAAGGCAAATAAATATGCAGATATTACTTTATATATATATTATACATATATATGTATACACATTTATATATATATATATATATATACATATATAAAAATTTCCCTCTCATATGAATAATGATTAACTGTTCTATAAAAATGTCACCTTGTGGCTGACGGCTTGGGTGATATATCTGAAGATCAAAGGGCTGAGCACTTGTTTTTTGTATAACGCTGACATTCTGGCCAGTCCATTTATTGGCTTTTGCAAGTGTATTAGTCCGCCAATCTGTCCAATATACTTCACTCCCATACAAAGAAACAGCAAACGGGTGAGAAAGATATTCGTGACCCCGTATAATCTCTATCATGCCGGTTCCATCATATAATGCAGAATAAATAGCATCTGATCTACAAGATAAACCCAAACTTCAGATTACATGAAAATAAAAATAACACCACCACAGAACCATTATGACACTGGAGCAAAATGTTTTATGATCTTACTCTTACACTGAGAAGACAAAAATTGTTTAGAGAGCAATCATCAACTTCAGACTTGATTTAGTTTGTGCTATTAATTTTTTACACTAGGATGTGAAACATTGCTTGTACAGTGTTTGAAAAAGTCAAATTTAATTCTATAATGTGATAATGCAGCAGAGAAGTTTACATTCAGATGAACTTAAAGAAAAAAACACATTGAATTGCTTGGGTCTTCTGGGTATTAGTTTCAGGGAGCACTAATAGCCAACTGCTTTTTAAGCCACAGGAAATCATGGGCCAGGCATAACACAGCTGGCAGTGCAGAGGACTCACTATCCAGGCCACATCCCACTGCCCCAGAGCAAGGCAAACACAACAAGACCCAGTGGTGGCAATCAGGTTCAACTAAGAGTTCAGATCATCAGACAAATTTCTGGTGATGAGACAGGTGAGGAAGTCAGTTGTGGATTAAGGTCTGGATGAACAGGGTCTGCTGTCAGGCAGTGCTGTGGTTGGGCTGAAGTGAGCACATGGGCACAAGCAAAACATGCAGGTACGTTCCTGCCAAGTCTGGCCATGGCCATTATGATCTGCTGATCCACTCAGGGCCTGACAATAGGTCATTTAAAGATCCCTTCTGTCTCAGGAACTGAGGTAGAATTTCTCATAGAGACTTTTGTAAATAAACCAAATAAATGTATTCATCCACTTTGTATGAAATGTACTTCCATACAGTCATATATTGACAAACTCTCATAGTCAACAGCTATCCACCAAAGACTGCAAAGGACAAAGAAGTGAAATTATTTATAATAACAATGCAATGAAAGGAATAAACATAAGATCCAATTGCACAGAAGACTATGTACTTAATGTACATAGCCACATTACACTTTCAATGTAGTTCACATTTCTGTATGTAAGAATAAGGATTTATAAATAGATAACCAAGAATGCTGTTATCACTTTACCTGGCATCTGTCCATACTATTCTTTTCTCAAAATGATCCACTGTAAGGCCATTAGGCCAGGCTCCAGTATCCATATCTTTGTATATGATCTTTCTTTCCGCTCCGCTCATAGAAGCGGATTCAATGCGAGGAAAATTTGCATCCCAGTCTGTCCAAAATAGAATTCTAGTGAGAAGAAAATAAAACAGATATAAGAACGTATTTGAAGCATGTAAGAAAATTTTAAATGGTTTAACAAAAAAAAAAAAATAGTTGGAAAGAAGATATAATTTTTCATTTTAAATTAAATGAAAACAACTTTCCATTTAGTGCTTGTGAACAATAGTACATGCTGTATGTGGCATAAGGGCATAAAATGGGCCAGTTACCACCATCCACATTAAAAAAAAAAATCAGAAGAAAAATATCACTCAGCAGAAGTGTTTTGTGAACAAATTTACCTTTTCTTAACACTTACACGTCCACAGTACATTGTAACAGGTGGTATTTCACTTAAAATAGGCTTTCAAAAACTACGAACGAGGTAAATAATACAACTCACAGGAAAACGGTAATCAAATAATCTTGCATTTAAAACTCTGTATTTAAAATATTTTTCAACTTCAAAAAAAAAAATCCTTTTACAATTACCCATATCTGGGATCCAAAGCAATAGCTCTTGGATGTTCCATAGCTCCTGCTATTAACGTTGTTCTCAAAGTACCGTCTAACTTTGCAACTTCTATTTGGTCCAGATTGCTGTCTATCCAGTATATGTTTCCTGCAATCCAGTCTACAGTAAGACCTTCAGGTGTTGCCAGGCCATGCTGTACTACCACCTCAATGGCACTTACACCTTAAAAAGAGAAAGAGTCTTAAAAAGCTAATATAGAGTCTGATATAGTGTACATAGACATACAAGTGTATCATGTGCTCTTTGACTGAATTCTTGATTAATGTGATGGCTGACCATTATCTTTCATTCCACGTAACATTTTGTCTTTGCAAATGTGACAGACTACTGTAAGTAACCATACTTCTTGCACTGCTTAAATAAACTTCATTCTATAGAAATAGAACAATTTTATTCTTTGATGGTTTACTGACTAAAGCCATGGAAATTTCTATGAAGGCCAGATCTCACATGGAGTCCCACTGCTGACATACCCATGCCCTGTTACTGCAAAATTGGTCCCTGGTATCTCTGAAAGATGTACTCATGCTCTGTTTTCTAATTGACACAGTAGACAAAAATTCATGCAGATCTACTTTTATTTTTTCCCCAATCAAGCAAAAAGAAATGAAAGGTTTTGTTCTCATGGGATCAGGAAGAAATACCAGCCCTTCATATTTTTTTCTTCCGCTAATAGACTACTGCAAAATGAAACTTTTATAACAAAATGTTTCTAGCAGTATGCCAAGATATATATTCTTTTAGAGGCAGAATATCATCATAGATTCTGTTTTTGTGAATGCTACCTCAGTAACAATTTAGGATATCCTGTATTCTGTAATGTAGTTGTTTTCACTCTTAAGAAATAGAAGATTAAATCCGTACCTCCAGTATCAGAAAGCTTGCCTCTGTAAATTTTGTCCTCCACCACATCTGTCCAGTACAGTAAACTCTGACTGAAATGAAAATCAAGTGCTATTGTATTTCTTAAACCAGGAACTAAAAGGCTGTAGTCACGTTTGTGAAGATCAATTTTTCTGATCTCGTGTCGAATAGAAAAAATTATGAAAGCTTCAAATGGATCTGGAAGCAGAAGATTACACATTTCAAAAGAATAATAAAGAAAAGATTGTTATACGTTGCTATAAATGACAAGTGAAATAAGAACAGAGTATTAAAACAATTCACTTCCTGATAGAACGTCTTTCAAATATATTTTAGTCCCATAAACATCTCACTTCTCTACTATATATAACAATATCTTTGATCAGTACAAGATACCAAATATTACAATTGGGAATATCACACTCAGCTATTGAAATATGTTTTATAGCTACACCACAAATTGTTCCATAACTAGATCTTTAAGTCTCAAGGTATAAACTATTTTCTCAAAAGACTCGGAAAAAAATAATTAAATTGTACATCATTCTAAAAGAAATTTAATTGAAAGAAATGTACTAATATATACAGGCTTTTTCCATTTAAAATTAAGTGATTTAAAAACATTACTGCAAACTACTAAGCACGGAAATGAGCATTTTTACGCTTACTGATACACCACACCACTAAACCCAATTACCACTGAACTTCTTCCTTTGCTATTCAAATGATGTTCAATTTGTGCCCACAAGCTTATATCATTATACATATAAATATATATATAAACAGTCACTGCATAGGTTAACCGTATTATAAAATTGTTTTCTATTGTAATTATTACAAAGTTTAGATGAAGTGAAGATTTCAAGCAAATAGCTGTATTTTTAAAACAAACAATGAGAACAAGTATTGAAAAGATTAGATCTTCCTTTTTCTCTCTTTTCCTTTTAATATTGCAAGACAGTTGGAAATTCTAACAGAATGAAATTTAAAACCAGCTAAAACCAATTGAGAAAATAATCAGATCATTCTTTTCTCCAAGTATGTACCCAATAGTATAAATATATATATATATATACACACACACACACCCCTGAGGTCATACAGCTTAGAAAATCTTTGAAGTCACTATTTAAACAAAACCTGAACTGTGTGTTTTGGACTTTTATTATACCAAGTTCTGAAAGGCGGAACATAAAAATGAAATTTAAATATCTTTAAAGAACAGGTTTTTTTTCCTTTCTATCATGATGTGAAAGAGTTCAAGTGCAATATATCAGCACAACTTATTCTGAAGGATGTTCCAACAGAAACTAACAATATGGAAATATATAATTTATATTGACTTTCTATTTGAATAATGGAGCTCTGTAATATACTTTTAGCTCAATCAATACAGTTTTTGAAATGAATTAAACATTCTTCGAGAAGTCTCTAATGTAACAATACACGTGCCAGAACAATAGAAATCAAACTATTTGAAAACATGAAATATAGAAGAAAAACACTGTAGCACTTAAGACTCTCCAGAATGGAAGAGAAGAAGAACTAAAGAAAAACAGGGGAAAGAAAGAGAAAGACATTGCAAGACTCATTGATTGAGAACCTAAAATACAGCTCAAAACAGATTTACTTTTTTTTTCTTCATATTTTAGTTTAGTTTTGATGGATACTTACTGAAACGGCTTCTAAAGCATCTTGAAAAAGTACAGTAATGCATACAGACTTTAGATGTTACTGCAGTGTACTACAGAAGTGTTTGCATATAGATACAGTCTATACAAACTCAAGAGTTAAAAATTAGCAAAGGGCAAACTAATAATTTTCTTTTGAATTTTTTTTTTCCTCTTGGAAGAAGGATTACTGGTTACTGCTCTAACACAATGCATATCTTCTCCCAATTCAAGAGATTTCAAAACAAACATGGCTATTGTAAGAATTATACCAACTGGTATTACTGATGGCATTTGGCATTACTGGGGACTGTTTACCTCCAGAAGTCCTATTTCATCTCGCGTTGTAGTAGACAAAACTATAAGCCTGTACTTAACATTCACATAAGATCTCACGCACAGAGATATTAAACGCAATGGACATTTTGAGGCTCACAAATCCACAAATGAGAGCAAAATTGGGATCTCTTGACTGGTTTACCAAAATGCTATTCGTACAGTCAACAATTAACGTATCAGAGTTTCTATCTTTTGGAGTATTCATCACTTTAAATGAAATAAACTGAAATTATTATTGGCTGTAAAAGCATATGTCTTATTTGATACGGAATTATTTTCTTGCTGCTTTGATGGCATTAGGATATAATCTTTACGGTTTATAAAGAACAGTATCACTTTTCTTTATACTAGCTGACATCTCCAGTCTCAGATCATATATTTAACGTTAAATTGTCTGACAAAATCTGTAAAAAATCAATTTGCAACTTTAGATTCTTACCAACAGCCAGTAAATATTAAGCAGAAATATCTCATGGGTCTAAGAAAAGCTAAATAGCTTTAGTCTCAATTTTCTTACTTTTCAGCACAGAGAGTATATTTCATTTGTATTGCATTTTTTTCACTACCCTTAGGTTTCAAACATTAGATTAAAGCAAGCAGAAATTACCAATGTTCGTTACTAGCCTCTCTCTATAACATTCTTAACATCTTTTTATAATGTTTTTAATCCCTTTATTCCTGTAACCCAGTAAAAATGTGTTTTCTGAATATTCAGAAATGACAGTGATAAAATAAATGTGACCAATCAAGGGTCAAAAATATTAAAGCAGTGTAACAAAGTAAGAATTTTAACTAATAACAACAACATTTTGGACATACAGGTCACAGTAACATGTCAGTGATGTGTGATCTGGGAGTCTACTATCAGCATAGCTCAGTGATAGCTCAGCAAAATATATCTATAATTTCATTCTGTAGTAGCAATTATTTACATACTATAACAACAATTATTGTGATAAAGACTTGATTTGGATGCCATTCTTTAAATGATGTTCCCAGTGGATTAATATAAACAAGTTCTTAAAAATATTAAGAAAAATTTCTCTTCAGCAAAATGCTCAATTTTTAAGCATTTGCTAAAAGCTCTTTAATGCAACATTCAGGATACAACACTAAATTTTCTTTGTTCACTGTTTCAGAAAAGAGAAATATTTTTTACTATGTGCAATACAGACTTCATTAAAACCTTCATATAGCTCTACAACATTGTACAAATTAGGTCAAGCAAGGTCAAAGCACATGGATTAGAATTTGCCATATTTTCTGAAATGTAGACAGTTAAAATGACTGCTAACTAGTAAATTATTCCAGGTGATTTGAAATGAGAAACTTGGGCTTTTATTTCTCACTTAGTGATTTAAATTTTTTTCCCTATAATTCACCTGAGGAAATGCTGAGTTATCTGTAATAAACGAGGAATATCTTAATCATAAAAGCTGTTCAATTATAAAATATCCAAATAAATTATAATAGTTTTGAAGACATTTTGACCCAGTATGGATAAGATACTATCAAGAAGTAAGTACATAACAGTCCTAGAGTGATACTCTGAACATGTACATTATTTTTAGCTTCATGCAGGAAAGTACTGATGTTATGACAGCATCTATTTCACATACATGTTTTCATTTCACACACATTCACAATGAGCTTAACAGACACCCTTAACAGTTTCTGAGATATGCTTCAGTACAAAATACTGAGCAATGAAGGGAATGTATTCTCCTCTCCTGCTTTGGCTAATGTTGGATTTCCTCTGGTTAGTACGTTGAACTGGTTTATTGATGACAAAATCAAGTAGCAGGATATTAAAGGTTAAAAAATAGCTTATTCTGTGAGTGCTAACCGACAGAAGATAATTGCTTCTGTGTATGCATATATTTGCAATTAACATTCCAAACTCTGAAGTAAAAGTTTGCTATGAGATACAGCTGATACAGGCTAACAGTCAGCACACGCTCCAATTTATAGAAAGATGTGAGATCACCAACAAAAGGCCAATCAATCCTGGAACTGTACTTCTGTACATGGACTTCATAGTCTGGGTAAATCAGGAGAGAGGCCCAAAGAAATGAAAACAAATATCCTGAAAGTTGGGAAAGGTTCTGGAGATGCATAGAGAGGTATGTCAAGAGATACCCAAGGCCCAGTAGTGCCCAAAAGCAGTAACTTGATGAACCAGTGCAAGTAAAGCCTATATTCACAATAAAAATCAGATGAAAACAAACAAACCCACTCACACTAAATTAATCTCTATTAATGTCTGGACGTGTTAAAGTCAGCTGAATTTCAACTTACCAGTACTAATGCAATTTTCTCCATCCTTACTGAGCTTCCAGCCTTCATAACACGAGCATTTCACATTATTTTTATGTTGTTCACACACTTGACTACACTTAAGGTGCTTGGTGCAATAATCCATAATTTCACAAGTTTTGTTGTCTACACTGAGATTGAATCCTACGGGGCATGAGCACACAATTCTTCCTCCAGGAACCACAGAACACTGATGACTACATCCACCATTATTAAGTGAACACTCATCTGAAAAAGCATGGAAAAATAAGGGTGTTACAGGCTGTGAGGACTGTTTGTTATACCATATACTTCTGAAAGACACAAATGCAGGAAAAGCCTCTAGGAAGAGCAAACAATTTTAAATCTGCTAAACAGCTTATTGTACTTATTTTAAAGCTATAGAATTCGTAAGTATTTAGCATAGTATCCTTACTGCAACCTTTCAAAATTTTAGCATGGCAGATGTACAATATATGAATACATTTTCCCAGACTTTCACGTATATTTCATTGACTTAATAAGCATCCATGAAGAGTTACACCAGAGACTTTTTTAGACCAATATCCCAACTCCAGAAGTTACCAAGTGCTAAAGATTGATGCACAAATAAATAGGCACACAAATACTTTCCTTGTCCCCAACTACTTGAACTTCTGGGTTTAGGAAGGCCTCAATACTCAGTCTGACGTATCTAAACCATAGGCAACCCATTATTGAAGAAATGTGTACAAGTAAGAATTAAAAATAATAGTAATAATAATAGTAGTAAAAATCAAGGTATCTTCATCCATGCTGTTACCATCCAGGAGACATGTAACCTCCTTCTAGACATACAAATTCATTCCTTCACGATCACTTACACAGCTACTGATAGGATTCCATCAACCCAAGCCTTTGCAATTTAAGAGAATTGCACATTAGTTTCAGTACTTTCATAGATATTCTAGATCCTTATATTGTTTATCTCCAGGAAAAGAAAGACTTACCCAAGGAGCTATGCTTCTCTTTATTTGAAAAAAGCAAAAAAACAATTCATTCAAGTAGAAGAACAATATGATTTCATTAAAAAAAAATCCTCACATAGGGAACTTTTATAACAGTATCTAAGGTTAACATGATAACTTTTATTTGAAAGAAAGTATTACGACAGATAAGGAATCAGAAAAATGTGTCTAAGAGAAATACCACAAAGATCGCCTTCATCAGATCCATCAGGACAATCTCTTCTCCCATTGCAGAGCTTCTCAGGCTGTAGGCAGATGGAGGTATCATTAGCACAAGGGTATTTTGGTGGTCCACACATATAGCCCTCGCAATTATCCTCATCAGACTGATCCTCACAATCAATATCGCCATCACATAGCCACGCTTTGCTAATGCATCTCCCTTGGAGAAAAGAGACAATAAACACAGGAAATCAGACTGCAAGTAAGCTTCAGAAAAAGCCTTCAGTAACATCACATGGAAAATTATTTTTTGTATTATGCTTTTGTATTAATAGTACTTTCTTCTTGGATGAGCAGAAGGAAATCAACTTGTACTTGTACTCTGAGGCATAACCCACATCAGTGTTGACAACCCAATTTTTTAAGTAATAAAAAACCTTTTTTTTTTTCCTATGCTGACTAGAACTACATACAAGTAGAATAGATTCTCATAATTTCAGTTAGGTATTCCAAATCATGCCCATTATTTTCTATTCTTAACTTTGTCTTTTCTTTTTCTCTCTTCTTTCATCGTTTACTCCCATCTGCCTTCCACAGGAGTAGCATTTCACATTCTGATAATTTGAGTGTAGGAACCAAAAATCTTTCTAAGAAGAATAAAAAACACATTCTAAAACATGTCAGAGAAATAATTCTCTTTTACATGGAATAACTATAATAGATGAAACTTCTTCCAGGACTTAAGTTTTACCAAAGCAACGTTCTGATTATTTTCTTCAGTCTTGAAAACAAACAAGCAAAAAACAAAGCACTTTTGTGCTGATCATCAACATTTGGAAATTTAAACTGGTTATGATGCTTAAAAGCATACAAAACTCAAAGCCAGGGATTGTCATAGGTCAAGAATAATAGATTGTGAACATACTGCTTACCAGTGTGTGAGAATGCATGTGTTTATGATCATATCTCAAACTGCATTTTAAACTCTCAAGCAGAACAGAAGTGACAGGTACTTATCCCTCCAACGAATAAGGAGATCTTGCACTGTGCTTCTACATATAAACTACTTAGTTATTGAGGCCTATCTATCAGGACTGGGAAAGATGATCCTGGAAAGATGAGGATCCACTGAAAACAATATCTGTGGATGCCCAGGGACTGGCTGATGATAGCCAAGACTTAACTGCAAGGTTAGTATAACTGCAAACTGCTGCACAGCATGAACTGACATGTCTTTCTGTCTAGCTTTCCCAGTTCAGATGAGATCTTCCCAGCAAGAAACTGAGACTGAATATGACTCTGTGTGTGCAGTAAGCATGACAGTGTGAAATAGCGAACTACAATGAAACTCTGATCTTACTGGTTATTAAATGCATCTGAGTACCTAAACCACTACAGGCTATTAGTTACCCTGTGTTGCAAACATTTTGTAAAGATGTCCACAAAATTTAGCATCCCTAACTGCAGTTCTACTGTCTTCCACTGCACTGCAGCAGATTAATTTCTTACAGCAGAATTATTTTCTAGTTAGCTTAAGATTAACATAATTGTTTGCATTTGTTGTTTTTTGCCTTCTTTTAATGGAAAAGGTGCCATCCTCCACAGAGAATGACAACTGGATACAAATACAGTGAAACAAGAACAATGGGGAAAAAAAGCTCCTGTAAAAGTGAAGCTGCTTTCACTTTCAGTGAACAACAGTAAGAATTGAAATTTCAGAATTATATGACAGTGAATGTTTCAAACAGCGGAACGTAATTTTACCAGTGCCAAAATCACATGGAAACTTAAACAGGGAGAAATGTCAGTTAGAATGAGAAGCTCTCCCCTTTCTCTTATAATGGTCAGTCCCAAATATCCTACACTGAAAAGATAAGAATGAACAGACACAGGAAAACAAAGCTGTATGTATTACATGTATACTGTTTATTCCCACATGCAATCAGAAGTGTTTCATAGAAGTGTCTATATTCATTATCTTAAAGTGAACATTGATTTTATATATTATTATTACGCAGCAGTAGAATGAAAGCTACTGGAGAACACCAACATCAAGCAAACTAGATGGGTCCCAAAGCAAATTGATGCTGCCATCAGGAGAGCTCTTAATCTGTTTGTTGTTTTTTTTTTTCAATCTTTTATACATACAAATATTTACAGAGCAACTCAGTATTCCTGCCTTTCCATTACTCTAATGAAGATATATGTTATAATAAGATCCATCTTTCTCTGTGATAGCTATGACATGTTCTTAAGTAGAATATACTCATAAGATGTAAATCTTGAACAAAATTCGAAAGAGATGGACTTAATGAAATACTACGACTGAAATCATTACTTCAAACTCACTCAACTATTTGAGTTTTAATTCCCCTTACTGAAACTTACACTTTTGGCTTCCAAAAGCCTTTACAGTAGATTTCACCATTAGTTAAGTGCCTCGACAGATATCTTTTATTTTCCATAACGTGAAGCAGTACATTAGAAGTTCTGAAGCAAAAATTATGTGGGAGAGTTTAATTCAAATGCTTCTTTTCCATTTTCTACAAATATGAGCAAGTACAAAAGAGAATTAACTTTTTAAAAATTTATTTTTATTAATTTTTTTAATCACACTCTTCCATCTTTCTTGAGATACTGAGCTCAAGAAGTTTTTGGACTGATGATTTCTTAAATTTCAGGAAACCTGCTTTGGTGGGAGCTATCTGCATTTTGAGTCATCTTAGATTTGCTTTCAGCTGGCAGAAGCTGTAATGCAGGTTTAACCTCATTCATGCAAAAAATGTGTTCTAATCCAGCACATTTAACAAAATGCCCCAGCTGTGCTAGTCTGCCAATTATTTGTTTTGTAGGAGACTTAAGAGTGAAGACTACCTTCATAAGCTAATTTGTGGTATTTAAAAGCTTTTTGTTTAAAGCAGATATTTATAAGTGCCTCCCGAATGAGAGAAAGAGGAATATTTCAGAGTCCAAAGATAGCTATCATCTCAGAAAACAAAATGCACTCAGTGATACCAAGAACACTAAGTGTTAAAAAAGCTATCAAAAAACAAAATCACACAAAGAATTTATGTATTAAGTTTCTAACTTCTTATAATGCCTTTTTTCTTAAGTTCTTAGTATCAACTAAATCCACCCACTAGAGCAGTAAAGCTTTAAAGAGCTCAAAGTGAGACAAGAGCTTGAGTAGGCATGGAACAAGTAGAAATAACAGTGCGAAACACATCTTTAAAAACCAGTATAATTTCCCCCCACCCTCTGAACTCCTCAAAGCATCTCATATTCTTACCAAGTCCTCTATTCTTCCTGAAGTCATCTCAAGCTCTCTCTCCCTACAGTAACTCTTTCCTCCTCCTCAGCCTTGAAGAGTTCATAGGTCTTTCCTACTAATTTCCTTCTCTACGTCTTCCAGTAAAACCCTTTCTTTTTCTCATTGTCAGTTTATTTGCCTTCTCCTCTATTCATTACACTTCACCATCATCCATTTTGAATCTTATACTCCGTATTCAGACAGCACTGCTTGTTGTTGCCCTCTTCCAGTATTACTGTACTGGTCACTTGACATTTACATTCCTTATTTTACCAACAAAATAATAATTAAGAATGACATGTAGGAAAAAAGTGGAAAAATAATAGTTCACCTGATAGTATTAAAAATGATCAGATACAAAATAAACTGTTTCTTCCAAAAAAGCAGTATGACAAATTTACAATACAGTTCAGAATTACTATACATGATATGAAAGTACTCATTCTTTTGAATTCGCCTTCACAGAACTACTTGACTATGACCATTGAGTAATTAGAATAATTTTATAACATTTTAAGTAAGGTTGAACAGATTTTATTCTTGGTCTACCACTGCTATCTGCAAAGAAAGAAGTCTGAATAAAAAGGATGGATTTATGCAGTACATAAAACTGAGATGAGGTACATCCTCGTAACAATTTTGGAGATCAGAATCTGAATTTAGAATAGTAATTTTCGCCTAATCTAATTTAGTCTAAGCTAACTTAAAAGTACCTTAATCTAATTTAAAAGCATAAATGGGTTAAGAAGCAGCCCAACAGTGCTTATGTCAGTCAAGTAGCTACTGCATCTCCTATCTTACTGCTCTTGAAAACTCTAACACATTATTTATCACATCATTACAAACAACTGCATGACAAAAAAAAAAGAAATGTCGACCTGAAATCTGCTAGTGCAAGTTAATAGATCTGTAGAGCTTTGGCTAACTCTGTTTATGAACTGCACAGATTGTATGGTAACAGTGTGACCAACACAAATACTTAAAGCTTAAAAAGAAATCAAATAAAAATGTTTTTGTTTATTTATAAAAAGATGATTAAAGAGACATGACAGATGTCTTTCAATATTCAACAACTTTTTATACTAGTGAAAAGATGAAGGCAATCAACTGTGCTTGCAGTAGAGATTCACATGACAAATTAGTAAAAGTTGTTCCAACTGTGAGAGACAAATTACTAAAAGGCTATATAGAACATCCCCTATAGGATTTCTTAACAGTATGTCAGAAAAGGGGCTGGATATTACACATCTTAGAGGCTACCATTATCCTATGTAGAAAAACCACTTGCATTAGGAAATTGAACACCACCAGGTAGCAATATATAAGGGGAAATTAGCTAATTTCTCTTAGCCCAAACAATTATCACAAATACAAGAAGTTGGTTACTATTATTTCTTTCATATATATTTGTTCATACACATTCCTAAATACTTTTAGACAGAGTTTACATAACTAGATCTCAGCACTTCACATGCTTAGCTATAACACACATATTAGAACATGGTCTCCCACTAATAATGTCAGGTAAAATTACTACCTATTACATACATCCGAATTTAAATTTCGTTTATAAAAGATGTTTAGCCCTCAATATTTCATTAGAGTTTGAAATGAAATAAAAAAAATACAATTACGATCTACATTCATTTCGTGTTCCATCTAAGCATGACTTTGAAAAATCCTAATGCAAATGTTAGTTAAGTCACATTCTTTTCCAATTTTTTAATGAAGTATTGTAACAAGATTAGATTTTAAGCTTTCTCTGAGAATACATTTTTTTTTCAATATTGCAGTTCAAGTTTCCAATGCTGCATTTCTAATTCTTTGAAGTCTTCTAACTAATTACTTTATACAGTTTCAAATTACTTGTAGTGCCAAAGACAGAAAATGAAAGAAAAGACGTGGCCTTTGAAATACTATTAAATGCTACATTTCAGTATTTGTTTTGATGTGCTGTCACACAGAAAAGTTTGAGCTTTACGTAACCTCAAAAGCCTTCCATTTTATATATAAGATCAGATTTATATATATGTAAGTTTTTATCTATAAATCAGAAAACAAGTTAGAGTAGCATATTAATATTTTACTCCTGGTATCAATAACATCTCAAGTAATATTAAACACTAAGGAATATTCCCATTGCACCCCTATTAGCAAATCACACAGACACAAATGCAGTGTGAATAAATGAGAGCACGATCTATAAAGACATACCTGTACTCACACAGGAGAACTTTGTCTTTTCATCACAGAGTCGTATAGTTCCATTACAGCCTTTTTCATCACTACCATCTTCACAGTCCTTTTCTCCATCACAGCGCCACAGCTCAGGAACACAGTTCCCATCAGGGCTGCACTGAAATTCCTTCCCATTACATCGTCCAGGAGTGGGAGTTCCTTAGAAAAATAAGAATTACACCAAAGAATATGCTTTGTGAGTTTTTTCCACGCAAAGTTTACAATGAATTAGAATCCCCTTTCTCAGCCAAAGCCAAAACCACAGTCCACAGGAATAACTCAAATCCTACTGCCCCCTCCTATCTCATCAATCCAAAAAGCCTTCAGGCAATTTCAAAGTATTTTGAAGAAAAGTCTTCTGTATCTATTTACAAGTGATAAAATATGGGAAAAATAAGACAGCTAACCTTCCTTGGTGCAATTTGTTCTGGTTTCGTCACTGAAATCTCCACAGTCATTGTCACCATCACATGCCCAATGGCTTGGGATACATCTGCCATTGTAACACCTGAACTGATCAGCAGAACACGAGTGGATGCAGCCTAGTTCATCACTTCCATCGCCACAGTCATCATCTGCAAATATCGATTTTAAAAGATACAGAATCTGAATAAATATGCCAAGAGAAAACAAGCTATTTCCAGAAAGCAAAATAACATACAGTAAATTAAACAGTATTTTTCTTAGCTTCACACAGGTATGTGGAAAAAATTTTTTCTAATACACAGAATCATCACCTATCCTGAATTGGAAGGGACGCACAAGGATCACTGAATCACACTTCTGGTTCCAGGTCAAACAAACCAACGGATCTCAGCTGCACATGCCTTGCCCTGTAGGCTTTTCCCCATCTTCATAGCCCTCCTTTGGATGCTGTCTAAAAGTTTTATGTCCTCATACCATGGCATCCAAACTGCATGCCGTGCTGGACATGAAGCCACATATTGCAGAACAGAGTAGGACAATCTTTTGCTTCTCCTGGTAGCAGCGTTGAGTCTGAGGGTCCCCAGGGTACACACAATTCTTCTGGCTCCAGGGCACACTGCTAGCTCAGATCCAACTGCTGTCAGCTAAAACCCTCAGATTCCTTTCTGTATGGCTGCTCTCCAGCATCTCATCCCCCACTCTGTTGTGCATACAGCCAGGATTGACCCCTCCCAGGTGCAGAATCTGGCATTTTCTCATTTAACCATGTGGGAGGTGATTGTGCACTCCTCTGGGCTGTTAGGATCTCACTGTAAAGTCTAAATGTAAAGGAGCATATGGTTCCTTAACTCTACTAACAGCACTCGTTGCTCTTTCATTTTAGATAGTCTAAGATCATTACATTTATTCACACTTATTCAGTCAAATATACCGTAAGCATTAGAAATTTGTAGATTTTTCTTCATTTATTTTCCCATTTAAATACAGATGCACCCAAATTAAGCTGTTTTATTTTATCCTTAGTGATACCTCACTTTGTTGTAGCCATTACAACAATCTTATTGCAGTTCTGCTACTTCAACAGTGATCGCCAAGACGCTATATAAATATTATAGGGTTTCCTTATACAGAATTTCAGCACACTGTGATAATTTAGGGAATCTGCCCATATACAGCTATGAATTTCTTTTCAGCCTCATAAACATCACAGTAGTATCACATTATGTAGTGGGTGAAGAACCAGTCCAATTTTGTTAAGACTGGTAAGACATCCCTCTTACACCACAATCTTTGGAAAAATATTCATGTGAATAGCTGCCAAATACATTCCCTTTATGATGTTACTACTTTTGTCCTAAGTCTTCCTAGACTTCCCTTCTGACAATTGCCATTTATTAAGTGGAAGTTGCCCACAAAGATGGTAAATATTTTGTCACCAAAACTGATTTGTTTTCTTAAAGTAGAAAAAACACAAGCAGTGTTGTTATTATTTTTTTTTTTAAACAGTTGAAGATTACATCACACTATTCTACAGGATATAGTATTTGCAACTATCACCATACCCATGGCACCATTTCTGACAATTACTCAGTTTTGCTGCTTTCTTCATTAGGTAACTTAAAACTATTAAATTTATTTATTCTCTGACCAGTTACAAATCAAACTTGTAATATCGGTCACAAAACAATAACAAAGCAATATCTGCTGTTTTTTTTTTTTTCAGATATTGAACACTTCATACTTGCCTGAATCACAGAGCCATTTGCTGCTAATACATCTTCCATTTTTGCAAACAAATTGAGTTAGTGGCTCACACGTTGGGAATTCTGCGAAAGCATTCAAAACCAAAACCTATTTAATATATACAGTCTATAGTAATATTCTTTCACTGTCCAGCATGCATGATTTAAACAAGCCAAATACACTTGTATGAAACATCTAACACACTCTCGAATGGAAGAAACAGTAAGAGAATGAAAAGAAATGATAAAAAGGTTTTTAACAGTAAATTAAGGCCAATACCTATCCTTTCTCAATGGGAATCAATGAAATACATTCTCTTGTGTTATATGACATGGTCCTATACTCCCATCATACAAGGGGTGTCTTTGCCATTAACTTGATAACGATACCAACTGTGTTTTCAGCATTTTCATTTAGGTAAAAAAAAAAATAGTTCTTCAAATGCAATGGCTGCCAGTAAAAGACAGGAAATGGAAGACTATAAAATGAGAAGGTTAAGTACAAAGTGAAAGAACAGTCAAGAGATAAAAGTTACCGCACAATGACGTAGTAAAATACAAAATCAAAATGTCACTATTTACAATCACTTCCTATGTGTATTCCCATTAACAAAAAAGGTAGAAAACTAAGACATAATCATCCGTAGAGACTCATCCATTATTCTGTTACCATTTTGTTTTCATAGTTGCCTAACATACTTCTCCATAAAATAACTTGACTTTTTCCAACATTTTCTTTTGAAATCAATGACAAAGGTATGTGCATTCATGCCATTAAGATGACAAGCTGTGTTTGCGTTATATCATTTGGAAAATACAAGATCCACATCACAAACCTTAGAAATTCATAAAAAAATAATCTGGAAGTCTAACCATCTGAAAGAAGTAGCAGCCTAAAATCTCATCTATATACAGACCATCAAGAAAGTAAGATGCTTCTCAAAAACCATCAGTTACCTAATGCAAACCAAAGACACCAATAAGGACAATCTACCTGATTTGCTACATAAAGGCAAGTTTTTCCTTCATGGAAAAAATTTCAGGCTGGAAATTCTTACAAAGAGCATCCTATATGCAACAGAAAGTAATGTCTGAAATGATGCATACACCTGTCAGCTACATTAAAACAGCCAGAAAACTGCAAGAAATCAACAAGCGTATATCTCACTAGATGCCTTAAACTTCTAGTCTTGTTACAATTTCACAATTGAGTCAACATAAAACTAAAACCTGACAAAGATCTTAAGAACCAGGACACTTTTAAAACATGTCACATAACCATAATGTCTCTTTACAAGCTTTTAGTCAATGAAGCTCCGATTTAGATATGCTGTCCCTTGCTGCCTTTGGTGCAAATAATTCTTATGGCCAGTCAAGGAGGATTTTGCCTTCAAAAAAAAAAAAGTCATACATGAAACAACAAACCAGCTGCATTAAATAGTAAAGTTCAGAGATCACCAAGAACATCATCATAAGATTGGAACAATTGGTTTTATTGTATCAACGCATGAAAGGGGTGGCAAGAAAATTTAACAATAATATTTTGTCAATCACACTTAAAAAGCTTTATGTTGTTAATAAATTAAAAAGAAAAAAGATTTTTTTTCTAGGAGGAACACTTTACAGTGACAACCAAGTATCTGTTCTGATACAAATAACATAGATGTTCAAGTATAATGGTACTTAGATATAGATATATCCCTTAGATGTTCCAGAGAAAGCTGAGAATTTTTATTTTTTCTATTTTCTTTTCTTATATTTTTAGCTTTCCAATATTTTTCTACAAATTTAACCCTATTTAATTTTTCTTTTTTGGTCCCTCACTGTCCCAAAGGCCACCCCAGCAGTCCTTTCCCTTTGTCATAGAGATGCACCTCTTGAAGCTGTTTCACAGCCATCCCTGCACTGACTCCCCAGCAGACAGGCAAAAAAAAAAACCAAAGGTGTCTCTTGAGCTCACAGTGAAGCTTCCCCACAGTGTCAACACCAATCTTGTTTCTCTGCTATCCAACTGTCCTGTAAAAGCTCTATTTCTTTGATACTGTCTTCACTCTTAGGTGATTGAGTGCAAATGGCACAGCAGATATACTGATGGACAAAAAACATGATCTTAAGCTTTATTTCCCTTATGAAAGTGAGAAAAAAACCAAGCACATTCTGTTCTCAATCCTTCTTCAGAAACGTCATGGTTCTTAGTAAATGTGGTTGTATTTTAAGAAAAAGTGTGTTTAGATACTGGCATCATTTTTCCCAGTACTGCTCACTGCCACTATGGACTAACATAAGTACACACAATTTCTTGAACCATTATGATCCAAAAGTTATTCATAGCTAAGAACTGATGCACTTAAATATGATTTGTAATGGTAAAAAAAAAAAAAAAAATCAAACTACTGAATAAAAAAATGCATTTTAAACTGTTCTGTAGAAGAATTCCGAGTAGCTAAGTGTCTTTGATAAATAGAATGCCATTTGTTAGCCATCAAATAACAAGAAAAAATGAAAAATATATGTTTAACATATCTGTGTAGCCACAGCACTTAAGAATAAATGAACATCATCCTCAAGTACGGAATAAATGTAAAGTTGGACAAAATTGGTAAATAGTAGGTGAAATAAATGCTAATTAGATGATCTGGAGAAATATTCCAGATAAGCTGACAGAGTATACCATGAAAAACACATGGAAAGAAATTACGAAGAGAACATTAAGATCCGTAAATTGATAAGCTGCCCAAGAACACATGGTATGGCTAATCACAGAAACTAATCAGTATCAAATGTCATGTCATCATTACACGAAATGGAGTAATTTAAGAGACTGTAAGATAAGTGAGTCCAATGAGAGGAAAAAAGTAATGTGAAACAAGCCAAGGGAAAGAAGGTTAATAACCCAGGAAACATATGAAAAGAAAGATATATATGTATATATATCTTGAAAAATCTTGAATGCAGCCATAAAAAAGAGATAGTGAGAAGTATGGCCTTAAAAAGCAACATCAAACTCAACTAACGGATATTAGCTGGTTGCTAGTCACGAAGAACTCAAAGTTAAACAAACTTAAAGGATTATGGATGAACAGAATTCACTAAATGAGTCCCATTCCATAGACTTTTTCACAGCTGAAGTCCTTAAGATTTATCTTTATGGAGCACACACTTTCATTTACACATTTACTATGTGGTTTTTCTTCTTGTTTTCCACTGGAAAGGAATATTCACTTACCACAGGATGTCATTTCATCAGTTTGATCTCCACAGTCATCCTCCCTGTCACACAGCCACGACGTTGGAATACAGCGCCCATTCCCACAAGAAAATTGGTCGATCTGACACGTTCTTGCTGTCAAGACAAAACACTCCAAAAATGCAAGGGAAATGGACTAAATCTGTTAGATCTTTTGTTTCAAGTCTGTATGTAGAAGTCACAAATCTAGGTGGTATTCTCCTGGCCTGGCTGCTCATTTCACATTAACTAAACATCATTCACCTCCTTTGATTTCAGAGGAAATCGAAATCTGCAGGACTCTGTCCTACCCTTGAATCACACACTCGTTAGTGTGAATACACAATATTAGTCAGTAGAAGAACAGTAATGCTTGATAAAATATGATTAGTGCTAGAGCTGACATGAATCAGGGTATAGAAACAGCTAACTTACAATTGGAATTTTACTTATTGAAAAAAAAAAATCGTATTTCCTACTATAAACAATAATGTACTGAGTCATATTTACACACACAAAATAAAACAAACAATGTATGCAATGTGCCTGGCCTCACTTTTCCTGAAATCTTTCCATTTGTAAATATGCAAGCATAACGATCCATTGAAGTACATAATGTATACCTTCCCTCTGATGAAACAAATATCACCAAAAGAAATTATAGTAAGCAATTACAAACATGATTTTGAAATCTGATAAATAGGACAATATCAATAAAGTCTAACATATAAAGCTGATCCTATAAGTGTACTGATTCAAAATGTGAACTCATCACTAAAAAACAGAAATAGAAACATATATTATGATTATAAAACTTGAATATGAAAAGACATCAATATGTATTACAAGTAACTGTGATAGTGACATGGAATCTATAGATTTTAGCTAGAGCTATATAGAGAGATATACATAGCTAGAGATTTTTTTTGACAAACTGCACAAATAACCCATGCACCGATCATTCCATACACGAAAAGTTAAATCATACAAAATGAATCCTGGGAATTTATGGCAATACTGCCTTTCACAGCATTTCAGTTAGAGCCATCAGCCACTGACACCTGATATTTTGTACAGCAAAGATTCAATGACTGTTTAGCATTCTCTACTGACAAGAAGTAAACATCATAGATTTGGAACTCCATGATTTATTGCAGTAGAATCAGTGAACAATCTTCATCTTGACATTTCCTTAAAAATCCATTATGCAGAAAATAAATTACAAATGAAAACAATTTTCAAGGTACCAAGGGGAAACCGAGTAAGAAATTATGCTTTTGTCAGCACAAAATAAAATTTACTCATCAGAGCATGTTAACAAACAATTCTAACTGCCAAAAAAGATTTAGCAGGAACAAGTTTGTACCTAAGTAGTACTTTGACAGTCAGCCCATATGGACAGATTAAGTGCTGAATTACTTTGGAAAGCACAATCAAGCACAAAGATGAAGTAAAATATAATTTGTATTCCATCTTAGTGGCATCAACATCTGAATTAATTTAAAATGACAATAATCAGATTACTAATAGCTGACTGGTTCAGTACAGTACAGAATTGCTTATGGAGCTGGAATTAAGTAAAAGTTTTTACCTGCACAGGTTTTATTTGATTCATCTTCGTTATTACCACAGTCATTAGCTCCATCACAAAGCCATCTCTTGGGAATGCAGCGATTATTTTGGCACTTAAACTGATTCTCAGGACAACTATGATTGACTGGGGGGAAAAGACAGCAGAATTTTTTCCTTAGAAAACAATCAGAAAAAATCAGGTGAAAATAATGTAATATTCCCTGGTGATACAGTTAGTATGGTTATCCTGGATATACCATCATCCTCATGACATGAAAAGTGTTCAGCAATAGAATCAATAAAAAATACTGAAGTACTTAAACAGCTCCAGTAATTAGAGAGTACATAGTGATTAAAGAATACATAATAAATTTGTACGGAGACCCTCTTTTATAAATCACTAAATGATAAAAGATAACAGCAGTTTACGAATACAGACTAAAAGATATCAAAAGGGAAGAGGTAAAATTCTGATTCCAAAATAGTTCAAATGCAAGGTTGAACCTGCATATCTGTAATATATTATAGATTAAACCCCTGAGTTGAAGGTTTATCACAGAAGGTCATGATTTCTGAAATTCAAAGGCTTAAAACACGAAGGATCCATTAAAACAAACAGATTTTATTGCCTGTACCATGTACGTGATAGAATGCATGCCTGGGAGCATGGCATTCAAATGACTTTGACAATCTGAATAACACATATCCATCACACTGGTTAAAAGAGGTCATGTCACATAATTTGCATTATGCAATGCTGAACAAGACTGGCTTATGTTCATGTAGAATAAAGCAGGAAAGACAATGTTTTCTTCAGGGTTTTATCTGAGGTGGATCAGGGCTGTGAATTTTGGAGGATCAGATTATTTTTTAAAAAATTAATACAATGAAAAAGTGACATAAGGATTCATGCTGCAAAATATAACAAAATATGATAAATAGTTGGATCCATCATGCTCAATTATTTTTGCTGTCAAGTTCATAATTATAATCCATGTAAATAACATTGGGAATAAAAAATCCTCAAATAAATATATACATTATACATATAAGTTCTCAATGAGTTATAGATAAATAGTATTTTCACAATAGGTTTAAAATTATGAAACTAAATCTGTCCTGAACTGCAAATAAATACAGGTGACCTCTGCTCTCTCACGAGTCAAGTTATCAGATACATCTAAAGACTTGTTATATAACACTAGGTGAAAGAACAGATATGGCTCCAATGATCTCAAAAATTTAATTGCATGTGCTATTTTAAATTCGAGTAAATCTGAATTAACCAAAAAAATTATTTAAACCATATTACACACATCTACTTAAACCTACTCATTTCTATGTAGCCTATGTATGAATGTTTCTTTTTCTCACTAGCTACCTAATATCATAAGAACCATGAAGACTTTAAAAGCATACAAGTTACGTACATACAACTGGCCTGCTCTCCCAGCTGTAACAAATATGTATGTTCAGCTTTTATACTAATAACAGGGTCTGTTATTAGCAGATCTCACTCACCTACACAAGAGCAGTAAACTAAGTAGTTTCAAATGCCCAGTTAAAAACAAAAATCCCAAGCTCTTATCCACCTACTCAGCTATCTGGTCTCTTTAAAAAAGTTTAACATATATCTGGAAACAAATGGTATTTAAAATGAAAGGACATCTTGCAGGTTTATCCCTGACATTTCAGTAGCTTTTATCTTTGACCTTTCTACCTATTCTGCCTACTGAAAACAACAGAGAGCGAGTGTGATACCAATGGCATATGAACCCTTCATGAGTGTTTTATGTGGAGGGTAAAATAGCATTGGAAGTAGATATATTGATAATTTGAGCAGAACAGCATTCCAAGTCTCATAATACTTATAAAGCAACCAAGCTTGCAATCTAAATCTAATCTATAGTAACTGATGAAAAGAGATCACTGTTAACATGCTGGACATAAACTATGCATCATATATGGATTTGGGATTGTATGATTTCATTTGTATCTGTAAAAATCCTCTGGGTATCAAAAGCTTTCATCAGTGAATCAGCCTAAATTACACTAATTGAAATAAGAATCAAGTCAACGTTGTCAAAAGATTTTCCTTCTCACTGTCTTTATTAGTTAACTCCTTGTTTAACAATCCCTTGTACTGCTGACTAATGTTTTGATACAACTCAGATCAACAGAAAAAACACCTTAAAAAGAATTCAGATTTAAATCAGTAATGTCTGTTCATGGAGATATCAAAATTTATAAACTCACAAAAAAATTAGAACTGGCTACACGTAACAATCATCAAGAAAAAGACTGTGTTTTAACAGAGGGTCACTAGGTCAATGTGAATCAACAGCATCAAACCAGAGTGAAACACTCAAGATTTACCCAAGGATGTATAAATATTTCTATCAGTGTTACTCTCATCCTTGTCAGGTTCCTGCAGGACTCAGCAAAAACACACACATCCAATTTTGGACACCAAAGCCCAAGTTTCACTTGGTAACATTCAGAAAAGAGCAACAAATCCCAAAAACACACCACCATCACCTACTGGAGAAAAAAATAAAAGGGATTTTTAAAAAAGCAAAAAACAAACAAACAAACAAACAAACAAACAAATGCAAGTTATTTTGTCTCAAAGAAACGAGAGACCATGACAAAAGTTCTCAGACACATAGAACAATGCATCAGAGTAAGACTATATCAGACCTTTAAGTCTACAAGTGATAGGAAAAGGAATAATGTATTTTCATTTTTGAAAAGGAAATTTGGTATAAAAAAATGAAGTAATCACTGCAGCAATCTGAGAAAGGAAAGAGACATTTTCACCACCTCAGCTCTAAATTTATAGTAGGTTAGGTAGCTTCCAGGAATGACTCAGATACATAATCGGTATGCTTCCTAGCATTTTTCATTTCAATAGTGGCACTCCTGTATGGTGAAACAAACAATAATACAGCTGTACTAAAACCATGTTTTTAAAGATAAGAGTACATCTTGCTAAAACTGAAAGTATTATATTGGTTTTCTTATGACAAAAGAAAACAAAAATTCCAGAACCACAGAATCACTTAGAGTAGGAAGGGACCTCTTGAGATCACATTGCATAATTTCTTGCTCAAGCAGGGTCAGCTAGTGTTGTCCCAGGACAATGCAAATCTGAGTTTCAAATGTATCCACAGATGACCAATCTATTGCTGTGTCAGAATCAAAAGACCACTGACATTACTCTTTCACTACGCTATGAAATGACTACATGAGTGTTATTTATCAACACTGCTACTACTATATGCAGGAAAAGAAAATAAGTTACAGGAATGACTTAAAGGCTATGGTTTGTGTTTGGCTCTCCTCAGACTTCTATTTAACATCCATGTTACTCGGTTTCCATGAAACATGGATTAAAATGTAGAAAAAAAATACTTACAGCAAATGTCAGCATGCTCATCACTGCCATCCAAACAGTCATCATCTCCATCACAGCGCCAGCGATCATGGATACAGCGCTTATTGTTACACTGGAACTGTTCAGCTTTGCACAACTGTAGTGGCATTTCTCCATGTTTAACTACAAAATATAACCAAGATGCACAAATAACCTGTCAGCTTGATACCTCCACACGTATAGTTACACAAATTATTTTGTTACCACTTGTAATGCGAAGGAAAGCACAGCACTGACAGCAGATCAGCAAGTTCCCAAGCTGCAGCAAGTGAGGACTTGCTCAAACACAACAGCCACAGGTACAGAAATAAAGGAAAGCAGCTGCTTACCTTTGGAAGACCTCAGAGGTACACAGGGATCTACAGCAAGATACCCTTGCATGAGATCTGGGAAGGGGTGTATCCTGGCTCCACCCCTTCCGATCAGTAAGGTACGCTGCTTGCATCTGAGCTCCCTGGGTTGGTGCTGCCTTCCAGGTGCTCAAACACTGCTTCAAACTGTGACTTAGCATTTCCACTACGCCACTTATCAAAACAGTATTTCGTAAACTTCACATATTTGAAGCAATTCCACCTAAAGCCTGCAGCAGCATGCAGATCTGAGTTGAGATCATGCATTTGTAATAAATGGGAGAACTCATAACAGAATGCTATTCAGACTTTTTTTAAAATTTATATTTATGCTTAAGATGATAGTGCGAAAGTACCAGTTTAAAATACTATAATGCTTTGCTGATAGTGAAAAGAAAAAAATCTTACAGACTATTCAAATTCTGGTGTACATTTAAGGTCTGGAGAATGATTACTGAAAAGCTGATTCTTGTATCCAGGCAACAACTCAAACACCTGCATTACGCACTGTATAAATTCGCAAATATTAAAAGATAAAAATCTACCGCAGAAAAGAATTAAGTAGGAAGCCTCAAGCTTATCGATAAATCCAGATAGATACATTTCTCAACATGAAGTTCAAAATGTTCTGTGTGTAAAATACACATTACTTTATGACCCAATCAGGAACACCAAGGACTTTCAAAAGAATTGGGTGCTGACATTTGCTGGGAAAAAAAACCAAAACAAAATCAACAAACAGGCAACCTGCTTGATTCACATCTGAAGGTGTCTAACCTCTTTTCCTAATGCGACATTTTTTTCAGCAACAGTGATGGCTCTACTAGCCGTGTGCTTGGGTCAAGTTCAAGGTAACTGCAAACTCAGTGCTCAATATGTCATGAAGTAGTCATTATACTTTTCTCAGCTCTTACAGGCTTATACCTGAAGATCTATGTAGAGTTCTACATGTTGCACTTGAGGAAATGACAAATGAGACCCGGAAGAACAATAAAAATTTTTAATGTTAAAAATGCTAAGTGCAAATCTTTTTAAAAAATACATCTACATATACTATCATATAATATTTCTATTCCCACATTTATTATGAATGCTGAAAATTTTACTGGCATTTCAATGAAGATATCCAAGAGATACAAGTAAAAGACAGCTAAATCTGCATAATTTATGAGTTGTGTTTTATATAAATATAAATATCTACCTGATGTTTTTCCTGAATAGACTCAGCATGAACATTGTCTATGCCAGATTTCAATTTGAGATACTTAGTTCATATAATAATCTGATATATAAACTAATTTATATTTGTCATGAAATTCGGATATTTCTGATTATCTGTGAAAGAGACAGTTGAAACATCAAAGTCTGTTATTGCATCAGACATTTCATCCTCAAATATTGTGTGCTTAATTGTCTGTCTTTACAGGAAAAGAAGCCTTTATCAAGTATTTATCAAACTTTCTGCAATTAGAATCTTTACTGAAGGAATATTTCTGCCCTATAAAAATCACAAAATCCTGTAAGGAGAAGAGCTTTTTTCGATTTATTTTGAGAATTGTTTTTGTCCTTTAACAGTGCTAGCAAACCATATATTCTTTAAACAGCTTACTCATGCAGGTTGTGCTGTTTTCCTCCAAAAACTGATTATCAGCACAGGCACAAACTCTGCCTCCAGGAATGGCTAAACAGAGAGTACTGCAGCCTCCATTGTTAACGCGACATGCATTATCACCTGTAAAAGCAACAAAAGACATTTTAAAATCAACAAGCATGGTAGGATAAGGAGATGTAAGCACATGAATACCTTTTTACATTTATTTTCTTCTGTATTAGGGACTCATTGTTCTCCTAGTTTGGTTATTATTAGTTATAATATTTAAACAGGTTGTAATAACCTGAAAGAATAAAAAGAATGATACCATCCGTTCACAGGTTTCTCTGTCATTTCTTTCAGAAGATGAAGCAGTATTAAAGACTAATAAATATGTCACAGGTACAAATGCTGACAGATTGCCATGCATGTAGTAGTTTCAAGAAATTCAGCAGTGTATATAGGAAACAGTCTGAAGCATACCAGCAGCTGCACACGTTAAAACAACATAGCTACAAACACAGACTTAAAAAAAAAAAAGAGAAAGAAAACAGAAATTAGAAGTATAACGATATCTATGGAAGGCAGAGTTTTAGGCTAATATTATGGTACTTCTTCCAAACGTTGTTATTTCTCCAATTTTTTTTCCCCATTGCTGTTTCTCCACAAACACCATGTGCTCTTCACATGAAGCTGCTGTCAGGTGTTCTGATCACCTAACAAGAACTGCTGCACACTGGTGATGATACTATGAAAATATAACTGAGCTTTAAAGCCTTGGAACAAGGTGCTTGTGAGGCACCTAATAAAACAGTTTTAGTATATTGGCTATTACAGCTGAGCAAAGTACATTTTAAAGTTGTATATGTACTAAGCAGCAATGAGATTAATAAGGAAATTTCCATTTTGTTTCTATTTTGTTCACAGAACCAAATGTTTCAGGGATAAAAATGCTTAAGGGTCTCCAGTTATCTATAGGAACTATGGAAATGGAAACACTGTTCTACCACTACATGTCAAAAATGATAGCCCAGTAAGCTATTTAAACTTTTAGAACAGTATTTTGTTTTTATACTAATTCCTGATGCTTACTTTCATGCTTTCCATCTGAGATGGCAGACTATAACCAGAACTATGTTCTCACTAAAGAAAGCAATTATTCAATACTCATCTAAAATGCTGTATATAATAAATGGCTTCCAAAATTTCCTCCATAAAAATAAATCTGTAAATTAAAGTGTGTACATTTTGTAAACACATGCTAATCTATGGCTTTATATCTTATTTCTCTACTGAAACAAGCAATATAAAGAATCTACTTTTCCACTACTCCCAAAGGCCACTGATTTAGATTCTAGATAATATTACTATGTACTTTCAGCAGGCTAAGTCATATGGTGCTGATGGAGACCGAGGAGAAAAAGCAAGTTATAGAAAGGAAAAAAAGGCAAAAAGTTATGAACTTTCCCTGAGAAAAGGTAAATGCAATCATGTATTTTATATGTATGAGCCCATGCATACATATTATCTTATATTTTCAGTCTCTTTCACACACACAAAAAAATGCCAATAAATACAAATAAATACAGTTGCAAATACTATTTTGTCTCACTGCTTTCAGTAACTACAAGATTGAAATATTAAGAAGTACCTTTGCCATGCCACTATCAGCATATTCCTTTTCCTATCCTATCCATTCCTCCTAATGTTCAACCATTATTTCCAAAGTATTGCAAGGTTAGGAGGGAAAACGTCCTTTTGTAGTAGATCTTTGAGAAATCATATCTGATTAATACCTTGCTGTTTACGGGGGTCATATATCTGAAGCCCAAACAAAGGTGGTCTCTCACTTCTTAACAGTGTCACATTCCTTGTGATCAGATCCAGCTGGAAAATAGATCCATTCATATAATCTGTCCAGTAAATATGATTTCCATGATGTGATAATCCAAAAGGATGATTCAAATCTTTTCCACTGTAGATTACCTGCAATTAATTGGTGTCAGTTGAGCACTGGACAAGCTAAATTATCTAATGCATTACAGAGAACATAAAGGAGGATAAAAAAACTGAGATGAGCACTGTGCCCGAACATACAAACTTAATACACTAAAATTAAGTAGCAAAGTTTTTTATGCTTTTGCAGAGATCAGTTCTAATTTCAAAACTTCATATACATTTGTTTTGAAGAGGGTTCTCTTAAATAAAGCACAGGAATGCAGGAAACCATTCAATTATTATGTTCAGCAAACATGTATCTTCTTCCCTGGTAAGGAAGCATGGCAGTTTATATATGTCAAGTATATCAAATATTTGCTTCTTGTAAAATGTTGCTGAAGTCATCTTCTGCAGTAAACACACATCTCAATCCCATATTTTGGAGTGATTATTACTTCAACTAGGTTTTGATCCAATATTCCTGCTTCTACCAAGAGCAAAAACAGTATGAGTTCCTTATTTTTGTTCAAGAGCAAATGATGGATTTCTGAAAAAATTCTCATTTATTTTGGGTTGTGGTAACTAGAAAGAAAAAAAGAGAGCAACAGAAAAAGAAAGAAGCTAAACACATGCCACAGTTTGTTCCCAAAATAGTAAAACCATTTTTCCCCATATGAAGCCTATGAAAATGGGGGCTTATTATTCAGCAGTTATGGTGGGAGGCAAAGCCATCAGCTCTCACTAGTAATCCATATGTAATCCATGGCACTGCATTTACTATTTTAGACCTGTTCTATCCAGGAACTTCACAGCATGTCTAGCATTGCAAGTAGACAAGGATCTTTAATTAAAAAATGTCTTTCTCCCAGTGTATTCACCCTCCTCCTGCCTCCTTTACCAGACCATGATGGATTGGACCAAAAGCATTAAATCTAAATTCCAACCAAGCTATTGTAACAAACCGCAACACTACTGCATTGGCACAGACTTAACAGCAGATCACCAATATAAACGATTTTTGAAAAAGTGTGTAATTGTACAGTGACAAGTCCCAGGGAGAACCATATCTGCAGTTACTACTTTGAGTTCTGGAGATCTGCATATTGGCCTTATGAAGGTCGTCAAACAGAGGAAATCATAAGTAGGATAGAAATGAAGTCACAGATTTGTTAAAATTCTATATAGATGTAAATGGACTATGTCTATTCATGGTACAGTAAAAAATTCAGTTGTCAAGACACTAATTTCATGAAACAGATGCTAGATCTTTCATAAATTATTCAATTCCAAACCATTTCAACTGTTTTCCATATGTTTCTTCTACTGTTGTTGTTTCTACAAAATAACACAGAACTTGTATGAAGATTTGTATCTAGTATTGCAGCCATTATCAAGTACTAAAACAATCTCTCCATCACTGACTGCACTTGTTGAGTGTTTCTTCTCTGCACAGGACCACAAATGTTCCAATGGGGTGCTGGTATTCACTGAAAGCAGATTACCCAGTGAAGTTAAATGAAAGTCTCACTCTGGCAGAGCCAAAAGAAAGTGGTGTTTTGTTTTATTTTACTGTAAAGCTCTTTATAGCTTGGTGAATCAATCAAAGTGCAATTCATTCTCACATGAGAAAAATAAATAAATTTTAAAAATATCAACTTCTGTGTCACTTTCTAAAGCAAAGATGAAAATTTTAAGCTATATTATATTCTCCTTCAGGAGACTGCCAACGTTACTTGTTTCAGCAGAGATGACACTGGACATGCCGCAGGATTTGCAGACTTTAAAAAGCTTGAAAAGTATTTTTTAACATAACACAATAAAGAAAAAGCATGCCTGTGGCAAAGCAGCAGTATTTTTCTTTTACCTTTCTTTCAGTTCCATTCAAAAATATCCTTTCAATGTGATCATAATAGGCATCACACCAGTATAACACATTGGCACGATAGTCCAGAGTTAAACCATTCGGCCAAAGCATCTTTGATGTTACAAAAATCTGCCGACTGTAGCCATCCATCCATGCCTTCTCAATTCTTCCCACACTGTCATCTATTTCATCTTCTTCCCAGTCTGTCCAATACATCCAGCTATTAAATTATAGAAATGAACATTCAGATGCCATTTTAATCACGTGAATAATACTATAGACTTTTAATAGAACTTTGGAACAGCATACCCACAAGTCAGAGCAATACTGTCTTTTCCATTTATTTGTCTTTTCATTGCTGTTTCTAAGTCAATAGCAATAGAAATTTTTCCATAAAGTTCAAACCTCAACTGCTATATTTTTGGCTAAGACTAATTTGCCTTTTTAAATTGTGCCTAATATTTTCAAAAAGGTAGAATCAACGAGGGATTGAATTGAAACCACTTCTAAGTGTAATGTGATCAGCACGCTTTTTATATAGGAACTTGGAAAAACAAATAGTTGTATCATCATATCCACATACCCAACATATACCACAGGTTGATGTAAATACACAGTTCTTTTTCGTTTACTCTCTGCTCCAAGCCACCATAAAGAAGGTTTGGGCTTTTTTTTCCAGTTCTTCCAATGTCTTTGCAAATACATACTAAGAATATAAACCATTTTTTGCTCTATGAGAATTAAAAACATTGCTGCGCGTTTAACTCAAACAACATTCATTTTCATCACAGAATAATAAAATCTGTGTACACCCTAAAGCTCAATTAAAGACACAGGTCACTGTGATTTATTTTATTAGAACACAAAAATATGTTTTGTGGATATTTACATGAGTGCTGAAGAGCAATTAATGAGCTTTTCTCCATTAACTTTTCGCCTGTACTTATTGTTATCATGTCATAAGCTAAAACGTGCTTACAGTAACAGACGTTTACATTAATGTGCTTTAATTGTATCTCAAAATGCTTCCGCATTGGTTAACTCAAGACTAATATTTTCTAAACATAATTAAAATGCTATAATAAAAGCTATCCCTCAGGAAAAGCTTTCATAAAAAGTGTAATCATGAAGGGCAAGTTATTTTATTAGAGAAGTGTTTTATATAATAGTCCTTTTCAGACAATACATCTTCATAAACTGTTTCCCATGCCATGCATTTACTCAGCTGGAAAATTTAACAAAGTAATTGCAGGTATGGTTATGTTTTACGGTCTGATTTTACATTCTTACTATCTGACCTTAACTACTGTAGCCTGTCCACAGTTGCTTCCATTTGTCAAAGGGCAAGTGCAAAAGTGAAAACCCGATAGTGTAAATGCGTTCTAGTACTAGAAAAACAGAAATCTATCCATTGACGCCACAGTTTCCTGCTTAAATAGTCTGCCAGTGAGAATTTAACAAGGAAATTGATCGCTGAATTTTTAGGTGTACCACAACCGTACCACTGTAATATGTTTTTTTTATTATCTGTTCTATCACAACTTATTATATTAGTAATGAAAAATATGCGTCTATTTATTTTAGTAAACTAATGTGTACAAGGATATGGTTTTCATTAACTTGAGAAATTGAGACTTACAAAGAGAGAAACAAAATAGAGCATTATACAGTTCACCTAATATTAAAAATACATACAGGTCCGATACAGTCAATTTGTTCAAGCAAAAGGTGAATCACATTCAAATTAACTTGACATCAGTTCAACTGTATCTGAGTATGCACATTCTTTTGAAGGCTGCAGGCATGAATGCTTGACAGGAATTAAGAGATATAGACTATTGCAGAATTTTAGATCGCTATATGGTTTCAAAGTCCCATCCCAAGCAAAATTCAATATACTCTGAAGACATGAATTAAATAAAGAAGTCTACTTCATACCCATTGACAGGATCAACAACAATTCCTCTGGGGTGAGACATGTCTCCCTCTAGCAATGTTTTCCGACTCTGAGCAGCTTTTTCCAGTCTGGCTACAGCGATTGTTTTCCTGTGGCCATCGTTTGTCCAATAAAGATTATTTCCAATCCAGTCCACCGCTATGCCTTCTACATTATCAAGATCTGAGAGAGAAGGGAGGTGCAGTAATAAAAGTTTAATGTTACACATTCACGTTCTAACACTATCCATTGTTGTCAGCAATGAGAAATTTATTCTAAATACAGTTGGATTATTTTCTTGACTTCTAAAAATATTGACTGAATTTCAATATTCAAGTTTACTGTCTCCTACCTGATAGTTTTTTATTTTGCAGACGTTTTCTCTGGGACAAACTCATCAACGATACTCCTTTCAGAACCCAATCACCTTTATAGACTGTGGCTCTAATAAACTATTTCGTTCCCCACAAGAAACTAGTGGAAGTCTCCAGGATGAATAAGAACATACAGTACTTTTACCTACTAAAAGGTATGTAAATCACAATATACATAACAGCGCAGTGCAGAAACCTTCAGCTTACTGTAAAACATAGATAACGTGTATTTTTGATGATACACTAAAATAAAATATGATGGTTTTATCCAATAAATGAAATATTGGGCTTTTTATACACTTGCATGTAATAAAAGCATCTATAAAAGGTACCACTACTATTTCAATAGCATTGCAACACAACAAGTGACTCCACAACCCTTCAGTGAAACAATGTTTTTTAGTGCTTTGTAATGCTATCATATTCCCTATCAAGTCAGCAGAGCTACAACACAGTCAAACATCCTGCCGCTGCAACGTTTCATTTTCTTCCTAAATTTTATCACCTATTTCTTTTAGAAAACAGAAAAATGCATTGAAAATATAATATTGAAGTATATTAAGTCACAGATGGCAGCCGTACACTGAAATTTGAAAATAACAGTTTCCTTAAGACAGATATTTCAGTAAGAATGTTTTCAGTTTTTAAAAACAGAAAGCAAAATCAATCTGGTGGCTACTGACAGTTATAGCAAAACAGCCATACGATCACTTTAAAACTTCTTCCCTTATCAGTATTGCCTATCTGAATATAATGGCAGTAGACAAACAGCACAGATAAATGAAAAGAAATATAAAGATAAGGGTTTTTTTAATATGAAAGAAAGGAAATTCTTGTCAATAGTATAGAATGATATAGAAGTAACTGAGAAATGATTCTGCTCATCCTGAACAAGTTAACAGTGAGGTTTAGAGTAGTAGGTCAGGATTAGAACTAAAAGATTTTGTAACTTTAATATTCTGCTATCTATAACTCCAAGCATGTAGTCGTTCTATCTCATGCATATTGTTTATATTAAATTAAACACTCATGGATATGTGTGTATGTACTTGGACTCTACCCCAGTGACCTGAACAGTAACAGGAGTTAAAGATATGTAGCATCTCCAGCTGTCATTTTTAATTAAGTAGTGTTTTGAATGAAAACCAAAGCCTGACTATCTCTGTATTTATCTGTTCTTTTTTTAAAAAAAAACTATTTAACTGAAGTATGGTGAAAAAATATTCTTCCATTATAATTATTTCACTTTTTTTTTTGCATTCACATGTTGATATGTTCAGCTGTAGAAATTAGTAAAATCAGTGAAATAGCAAATGATTGGTTGTTGATACCTTCTCTATTTTATTATATTATATTTTAGCATTTTATGATTCAAAAGCTAAGAGAGAGATAGAAAGGAACCAACGAAGTATCAAGTAAATCTTGTTTACATAAGAAACAAGACCAATATGTAGGAAACCCAAGGGATCTCAGCAAATCTTTCTTAAGAACACACAGAAAAGACTAATATCAAGTCTGCAGATGGGGAGTGATTTGTTCAGGAGTTATTTTTATTTGTATGCTGTCTGACCTAGATATTTAAAATTGAACACTGTTCGTACATTAAGAAAATCAGCTTTTTCATTTGCCTTTTTGGGGAGAGACAATCCACTCCAAATAGAGACTATATTAGAGTGACTGACTAATAAACCCCTGCAATGGAAGAAGGCTCGGTAAAAATGGGCAAGGGTAACGTGCTCCTGAAGTTTAGAGAATAACTTAAGATGAGACTGACCCACAGCTGCTGCAAAGAAGAGAATTTATCTCTACACAAAGGGGAGCAGAGAACTGATTTTGTTTTAAACATCTATCAAGAGTTGAATAGTTTATTAAAAGAGAGTGAAAGTCTTCCTCAGTTAGCCAAATACAGCTCAGCCAAACACAGAGTTTAAAAACTAATTGAAATTCACTTTTGTTTAACTATCTAAAAGCTTTGAATACATTCCTCACTTTTACTGTGGGTTGTTCTGCCACTCTAACTAAACAAAATTGATTTCACTATTCTGAGCCAACTTTCTACAGGGAAGCCCTTTAAACTTAAAAAGAATGATGTAAAAGAAAGGCCATTTTTTTTTTTTTAATCATTGTTCACTTGACAACTGGAAAATTAACATTTGTAATTCTACCAGAATTTTATAATCAACAGTAGTATGTGGGCTCCCTATATACAGTATATACATAGAAGATATTCAAAAGCTTGGATTGCTAAAGACAACATATTTAAAACCAATGTGGCAAATTGTAAGATATTATAAGCACAGCATGTAATTGGGTAAAGAATGGCCTAGGTCCATCTATGTCCATCAAATCATGTACCCTAGCATAGCCTAAAATAAAAGACATAATGTAAACTGATTTGGAAAAGTAAAAATAGTTACTCTTCAATATACCAATCAGCTAGATAGATTTCCAACATAAGATTCATAGACTTTCCCTCATCTTACTTTAACACAAAGCAAGCCCTTGTAAACATTAGCAAGGATGGGAAAGTGAATAACATAAAACAAACTCTAAGGCCCATACAGTATCAGTGGGGCAAATAAATGCTTTAAAAAATAAAGAGAAAGAGTGAGTTCATCCTTACGGTATTCCAACTGAATAATATTTCAATCAGTTAAAAAAAAAATTGCTTTGTTCCTTTTTTTAACATAAAAAAATTAATTTCAAAATAAGTTTGAAGCTTTAATTATAGCATTTTCTGTTGTTGATGAAAGTACACCACTTTTGCAGTTGTGCTGCCAACTCTAGGATTGGCTTTGCTGTGAGCTGTCAAACAGTTATCAATACTACACAGCAGTTTATTTTCCAAAGTGAAGAATAGGAAATCACAGCTGAAACTATATGGGAAATCAAACTCCAGCAGCGTTAGGTGCTCAGCATTCTCAACTGCTAGTCAACAGCTTGTAGGATCAGGCTCTCATGTAGGTAAACCGTAATTATCTGAGTTACAGTGTTGTTCGAGCTAGCATATCTGTTCTTGCAAAACCTGATAGTCACAAAAAATGACAACTTCTAATCTGAGAAGTGACACCTACCGCAGATAGAGCTCCTTAGCAGCATGCTGTTCCAAGCAAATATTAAACCACCTACTGACACACCTGATTTTCTCTAGTAGCTTTCCACCAGAGAACGATTTAATCTATCCCTGCTGAGTTCTTGAGAGCTGACAAGAATAGAAGCTGAGGTGGTATGGCTGGAGGCCATATTAATTTTTTACATCATGAAACATACATTAACAAGTATTCTTTAAACATACTTTAAAGTTAGAAAACTTCTCCAAGTTCTAACTAATAATGTAAATTCCTGGGAAGGGAGTGGGGGGAGAATGACAATGATAATTTTTATTCATTTTAAGTATGAGGGAAACCAGTAATACACGATTAAACAATCCATAACTCTTCGGAGTACTTTGGAATTTTGTTTTGTCGTATTTATAAAAAAAATAAAAATTAAACATGACTTAGGAGAAGCTGCTGACTCAGTATGTGAATATATATATACATATATTCTTTTCATGCTTGCATGTTTGATTAGACTAAGCTCAACCCATCTCACACTTTTTGGCAAGAATGCTTTTTTGAATTACCTTACAATGTTTAAGTCTATATACTGCTCATTCCCTTCCTGTACTCTGTATTCGGATTACTTTGTTGTAAAATGAAATGTGCGTATTTTGGTTAAAGACTTTCAGCAGTGGAAGTGGAACTTCTGTGATGTGTGTTATGTATTTCCATATTCACAGGGAACTGAAGAATTATACAACTGGCAGCTGAGCATTCATTATTTACTCAGACAGCCATCCCTTATTAAGCAATCACCAAGCTTCTTGAGGCTACTAGTGAAAGAACCTTTACGCACACTGAGGTCTGTAGAGATCTTATACCAAAAAAAAAGAACAATTTCACTGTAAATGGAAGCTAACTTCTCTGAGACAGATGGATTAAAACATAGGTTATGAATCATGAGGAATGACAACCCCTGCATTAAAGCAATTGTTTGTTTTTTGTTGTTGTTGTGCTTTTGTTTTTCCCCCTCTTGACTATTAGGAAACAATTACTGTAGAATGGATTTCAACTGAGGTAAAGAGCTACTGAAGCACTATTTCAGATCAGAGCTTTAGTTAGTGAAAGAGCATTTAATACAAAGAGATGGAATGCTTGGCCAGTGAGAATCCATACAATGTGGTGGGAGACATGGAAAGTAGAAAAGTGCTGACATTTCCTCTGATCGCTATAATACATGGTAAAAAATATCTTTACATTCTCAAAAAATGCTTAGGTTTTCCTACTGCTTCTCCAGGCAGGAGGGAAAATGCATCAGAGAAAAAAAATCCTAATCACCCAAATTATTATTATTGCTAGTGATTTTGCAGTACAGAAAGTCTTTCCTCTGCCAACCTACTTGAATAGACTCCAGAAACCACACTGTGATACAGGCTGTAGAGAAAAGTCTCATAACACTCTCAAGGATATGGGATAGTTCAGTGAACTGTTACATTATGGATTCATTCCATCAACTGAAAGAATACAGTGGAGATAAAGAGTTACTCAGTGGCAAGTTATAGGCTAAGTAGTCACCAAACAGCATCTCCGCGCTTAGAAAAAATAAATAGGAACTTGTAAGAAAGAAAAAATAGCTCCAAGTTTGTTCAAGGTAAAGTTTGGGTCTGCTTTCAAAGGGTAGATTATATAAAGTTTTAAATCTTCTGTTAGCATTCCTACCGTCTTTGAGGATTGTTTCCCTCTCTGTGCCATCAATTTTCTGCCGTCCAATTAGGAAACTGGTAGTATCAGCAAAGTAAATGTAATTGGTTTCTGCATGGAAGTCCAGAGCACGAGGATTGACTAAGTTCTCTATAGGGATCATGTATTCATCAGATACTTTGGTATTCAGATCCATTCCCCGTATTATTCCTGGGCGTCCCTTCCCGTAAAAAAGAAACAATTCATTCTTTGGTCCTGCAAAAGAAAGATTACAAACATAAACAACTGATGCTGCCTAATCTTCTTTACAGTGAATAAAGTCACTGTTTAATTAACTGGCACAATTAGTAGGGGAGCAGGAGCATTATTCAATACCAAAAATTAAACTTTCATATATTCCAAAGGTATCTAAACTCAAGAAATCTAGCTAATTACATTACCTTAATTAAAATACAAATTACTTTGGTGAACTGCTTACATAAAATTATTTTCCTTCTGTAAAAGTTCACACTGAAAAGAAATGCTAGATCACAGAATAACCTTGCATCTAATGTGAAATGGACATACATAGCATTGCAGACATTTAATTTTACAATTCATTAGGATCTATCCAGGTAATGTAGACCATGACTGAAGAAATCATTAGATCTAACATGACTGTAAACTTCAGCAAATACAGAACACCATTTTACTTTTTTTCACCTGAAGTTTCTCCGAAGCAAGCAAAAGCTTATAGAAAATTTCTTTCAAATGGGAAAGAACATAACAGATTGACATACTGATTTCTTTCATGCTGAGATACAAAACACGGGTATCTATTTTTCCTTCTCAAGAGATTTTTACAGTTTCATTAAATAGCTTAATTACAAATAACTGAGATATACTAAAAATACTTATAAATGTCCTTAGATACTTCATTCTATAAATAGATGTCTTAAAATTCTCAAAAAATATATTATTTTCCTCAATACTTCTTTGAGTTCATTGGAGTTGCTCGTGAAAACAGTGACAAATTTGGGTTCAAATGCATTTATCTTCCAGCATTTATCAATGGATTCAGTTGCATGCCTTTCACCTGAAATGTATCAATATCATTTGATAGAAGATTTGAACAAAAATAAAATTGCAGAATGATTTAAATTGGAAGGGACCTTAAAAGCCATTTAATTCCAACTTTCTGCCATTAGCATGGATGCTTTCCACTTTACCAGATCGCCCAAAGCCCCTGTCCATCCTGGATTCTCGATGGAGAATTTCTGAGCAGGCTACTCCAGAGCCTCACCACCCTCATAATAAAGAATGTCTTCCTTATATCTAACCATTTGTTGTTCTATCACACATGTCCTCACAATAAGCGTCTCTACATCTTTCTTAAGTATTCAAAGGCTGCAGTGAGGTCTCCTTGAAGCCTCTTCTTCTCCCAGCTGAACAAGCCCAGCTCCCTTCATCCTTCATAGGAGAGGTGCTCTAACCCTTCACAACCCCCTCTGGCCTCATTCCAATCCTTGTCACAGTACTTCAAGTGGAGCCTCATGAGGAAAGAGCAGAGGGGGACAATAACCTCCCTCACCCTACTGGCCAGTCCTGGTTTGACGTGACCCAGGATGCTGTTGGCCTTCTGGGCTGGAAAGCACACACTGCTGGCTCAGAGTGAAATTTTCATCCACCTGAACCCCCAAGTTCTTCTCTGTAGGGCTGTTCTCAATACATTTATTACCCAGACAGCATTAATGTCTGGGATTGCTCTGACGCAGGTGCAAAACCATGCACTTTGCATTGCTGAACTTCATGAGTCTCATATGAGTTCAATTTCTCAAACCTGTCTACGTCCTTCTGTATGGCATCCCATCCTTCCGTCATGTCAATCATGAGGTTGTGACAGATATAACCACAGTTATACAAATCAATCCTCCTGCTGCAAAGTATTATCAGATGAAACTTGCTTGCCTTGTTTACATGAAGGGTCCATCTCTAAATTTTAAGATGATTGTGTAGGTAGGAATGGATAATAACTAAAAGTATTAAACAGTACAGCAGCCCCTATGCATTGTCAGAATGCAAGTATATTAGAAAAACAGTAAAATTGACTGATAGCACAAGATGATTTTTGGAACTATTTAAACAGCATCCCATGTCTAAATTGCCACCTGTGTGAACAGATCCTAGTCAAGTAAAATCATTTTAAGAGAATAGAAGGAGTATATGAATAAAGCATCAGGTAAATACAAAACAACATTACCTGAAAACAGACCATGTGATTTCTATTGCTATTGATTACATGTTAGATAGCATGCAGAGCTAAGCCCTGAAATATTAGCAGCTGGCAAACTCTGATTTATATTACATACTTTTGCATGACCTGCCATCACTTCCCAAGATGAAGCCAGTCCTGCAGCGACAAGTCCGTGTTTTGTAGTTGCTGCTGAGCAAACAGATGTGTGAACATCCCCCTGGCATTCCATATGGGTCCACCTCACATGCATGGCTTCTGACTGCAGAGAGTGAAAAACAGCACAATTGAAATCCATTTGAAGTAGAATAATTATATGCTTCAGTATGTAAAAAGTTTAGACATGAAAAAAAAAAAGGAATTTTCATCACAATCTTTCCCAAAATATAACTTCAAAACAAGGTGATTTTAAAGATGATACTCAAGGCAGACAAATCAGCATTTCCAAAGGATCATCTTGTGGCTATCAACCCTAGGAGGTTATTGCTTTAATGGGATTCTGAAGTTATTTGCCAGGCAGCAGTCTCCTGAGATAGCCAGACATCTTTCCCTTTATTTCTTGTTCATTTTATTGGTGGGTTTGGTTTCCTTTTTTCGTTTTGTTTTGAGAGCAGATTCCCATGCTAACCGTCCCACCCCAGCTCACTATTTGTTCAACACATCAGCAAGCACCTTTCTATGGAAGATATCTATGCAGAAGCTAAAGAACAAGACTTTTCCTGCATTTGAACAGCTGAAGAATTTAAAGAATTCCTTTCCCTTGATATATTTTTAATGCATAGCTCTAAATTAGCAGAATAGCTTGTCAAGTTAACTTTTTAAAATTTTTAAAGGTAATTCTGATCAGAAGACAAAATCTATCCTTTTACTTTACGCTGCCCTACAACAGCACAACAGTATTTTAGCTAAAAAACCTGTATTTTAGCTCTTCCTTCTCCTTCAAGCTTTTTAGTTGTTTTGTAAAAGTAATCCAGAGGTTTAAGGTTGATATTGTTAGAGGTATACAGAATTTCCACCAAGTTCAGACAGCCTTTCCAGCAAATCTTGACAAGCAACGAACATCCCCTTTGAAACAAAAGAAGCTGCAGAGCAAACAAAGGGCAGGAGGAACAGAGTAATTGCAGGAGGTAATAACAGATTACACTATGCTCACATGTCTCCAATATTTAACCTCTCTGAGTCCCTCAGGGATACACAGGGGGAGCCTACAGCGAGGAGAAAGTCTTTGCTGCCTCTATCAGACACTAACATCTGCAAATCAGTGCCCTCAGCAACAGAATAAAATTAGTTCATCCAATCTCCATCAGCTTAGATTTTTTTTTTTTTACCATGTCAGAAACTTCTCTCAGAGCAGCCAGTGTGTTTAATAACATTGACATTTATCACCAGAATTGATGTATTAGCTTTTTATAACCCAGCAGTCATCAAGAGGATTCTAGTTTTTATCGCTAGAGTCATATCAAAATATGTTAATTGATAAAATATCACTGTTAAGCATTTTAGATCTTGTTATCCTATAAATCATACTGATGTTCTGAGTGCAGAAAAATACGTAACCGGATCCATGATTCAAGTCATACTGGACACCTGAAATTGATTTTAACAAAAATTGAGTATTTAGAAGTTTCTAATTCCAGTCTTGAATGGAGATTGAAGGCCAAAGATGGTATTTATTCAAGCAGGGAAAAAGTGAACAGCAATTCCCCCACTGTGCTGGCAGTTAAGCAGGCTAGCTGCCCAACTTCCATTCATTTTGGCAACCTCAAAGACTGAGGGAAGGAATTTTGAGTCCCTCCAGGTTTGCACTCTGTGTTAAAAGCAGATCCAGAGAAAGCAGGAATCTCCAAGGTCTGAGACCCAAGCAGGTGGGTGGTATTGGACACCTAACAATTGTGAGAGTGTTAAATCCCCAAAAGGCTGTATGTATGAAGTCAGAGAGTTTGCAAAGCAGAGCTCATTGGCAGCTCTCCAAGTTGAATGCTCAGGAATCGTTTGTAGGAGCTTAGGGAAGCAAGAAAACCAGCAGCGAAAAACACAGGAAACTAGGCAGATGAAGTTGTAGAAAATTTTGCAGTAGTGATAAGTTTTAACTGCATATTTCTGGAAGAATGCTTCCTTGAAAACATATCCAACAAATAACTAGTTTTAGAATGAGGAATTTTCATCTCACCCGATGTTTGAGTTCTTTTCTGGTACACACGGATGTCCTTTGCATTTTCAAGTCTGGTAAGGGACCAAGCATCAGTGCCATTATATCTGTTTATTTGCCAAATACTGAAGTTATCTGAATTAACTGCATATATGTAGTTTTCAAATACTGCCAAACCACAGAGATGCCTAACCTGGAATAGAGATGGAAGCAATCTTTATTTTAGCTGAATATTTTAGATATACGTTTAGATATACATTTTATAAGCATCAAATTATGTCCAATGTACACGCCAAAGTGTTCAAAATAATTTATGAATATACTAATAAAAATCAGTAAAAAGAATGCAAATTACATTACAAATCTAGTTCATATGCTTGTAATCACAGAATTGAGTTGAAAAGAGACCTTTAAAGGTTACGTAATCCAGTTCCCATGCAATGAACAGGGATGCATAAAACTTTCCTAACCTTAAACAAGCAGGGAAAAAAATGCAAAATATTTACCACAACCCATTCATTTATTCTTAAAATGCCATGGGTTCACCATCTTTTCAATTAAAAACTCTTGCATATGGTCTTAAATGCAATATATCACATTAGCATTAACTAATGTTAATTAAAAATCAGTAACTATCATTAACATTAGCTAGCATTAACTAATAAATTTAGTAAATATAGATAGTTTACAGGTTGAATTAATGATTTTTTTCACTGTGACATAATCAAAACAATGTCACCAGTGCAAGATATTATCACTTAATATATATTTAAGTAACTAACTACGCAGGAACTCCTTTTGTGTTGTATCTTTGAATATGCCTGTGGTCACACAGTACTGCTTGCTTAACAACAAGCAAGCTCTAATTTATTTATCTCTGATGTGTATGAGTACACTGATTGAAAGTTACTTAAATACGGTTGGTTAATTAGCCAATGACAGCTCAAACATGATGTGTTTAATTATACAGAGGCTGTGCTTGATGTATGGATTTAGAAAATTCAAAATTGAGCAATTTTGAAAGCTGAGTAAGCTAAAGAGAATTCGTTGGCAGGTGTTCAGACATTTACAGGCTGAAATTCTTACTAGTGTAATCAATAAATTATTCACCACAGAGTATTTACTCAGCTCATTTACTCAGAGAAATTCAGACACACTTCACAAACCAAAACTAAAAGATGATCCAAAAGCTGCTATGCATCAAATATTTCAGTGGTTCCTGGAAACTACCTCAAGTTGACCAAATTTTGTCATCGTGTTCTGCTTTTAAGCAGTTAAAAATTGAATAAATAAAATCAATGACAGTATTTCATAAGACCCAATAGGACTTCAATCCAGTTATAGTAAAACCATAAACGGAAAAGAAAACAGACTTGATAATAACAATGAATCTGTACTAAATTTCTGAATTCTCCTCTGCATTACAATTCTTTCTTCCCTATCACCATTTGTACAAAGTTTAAAGCTTTATTATTTAACTCCCATAAGAACATGGGAATATTTACAATTTTAAGTGTGACTCTTTTTATAATGCAGAGTATAAAATCTTAATTATTTTGGTAGTTTTTACTTATCCTACAGATTTCCTGCTACCTCATGCATGAATGGAAATGTTGCTTGTAACAAAGAATAGCCCTTTGAAAGCCACCCAAGCTATCGACCAAAAAGCTTATATCATTTGGAAACTATGGCTTCCGATATGCTTGTACTTAGGAAATAAACTTTAACCTCTGAAATTTGTCGAGAATAGTTTGCTGGCTATGCTAACAATTTGTCATTTGATAATTGAGCAAAAAAAACAAAGCAGAACAGGTAAAATACTTGTTCTATGTGCACATCCTAAATACCCTGTTTAACCTCAAGCAAACACAGATGTATCCAAGGTATCCACACCAGTCCCTAAAGTCTGAGTAGCAACCAATAATGGTTTGATCGCTGCAAACTTTCCTTTGATTTTCATGAGCCTTGCCACTGTGTAGAACTGCTAACTACTATTCTGCTCTCCAAACTGAAACAACAACAGCTTGATATAGTCCTGCTCAAAAGCTTCCAGACTCAGTGTTTGTATTTATGACTCTGAACATCTGGATCAATTAAGAAGAAAACATCACTACCATCAACAAAATATGATTTAAGGTCACTTTCCTTGGTTTGAACAGGTGAATAACTTCTGCTGTTCTTCTGTTTCTTTAACATTCCTCTACCCATTAATCTTCCCTTCCTGAACTGGCAATATGTTCTTGTCTTTAGTAATTTATTGCTTGGTATCTTTCCATTGCCCCATATTTTCCCTCCTAAAGTCTTTTACAATGGGAACTGTGACTTGAATGGTGCGTTGCTGAAGAAGAACTACAAGGAAGTTCATAGGTTGCAAAATGGGCTAAACTGCAAATAAAATAAAATTTGCAGTGGATCTTTTAAAGTTTATTGACATTATGCATGTTTGTACATTGATATCACTACATTTTCCTACATTTTTCAAATAAATACCTACATGTCTGCCTTTTATCACTGTATGCCTCTTTCTCCCTTCATAGTCAACAACTTCCATATTATCCAGATAGATGTCAACCCAGTACACATATTTATTGATGAGGTCTAGTGCAAGAGCAGTTGGCTGTTCAATTTTAGAGTCTACTATCCATGTTCTGTTCATTCCATCCATGTCACATCTCTCAACCTTGGCAACATTCCCGTAGTCCGTAAAGAAAAGCTTTCTGTGGAAAGAAAATAAAATGTTGTGAGTTTCAAAGGGTGTGAGCATAGCGCAAAGCTCCTGGTGGCACTGTGCAAAGCAGGATTTCATTCCTTGTCATTTCGAAGACTATATTTATTAATAGTCAACAGCGATCGACACAAACAGTGTTGTGTTTGTTGTTGTTGGGCTTTTTTTGGTCAGTATATCCATGTACAGAGACTATATTAAAATCTTAAATATATCCATACAATCACTATTAAAAAAAAAAGGCAAAGTAATTAAAAATACTAAAGAGTGACAAATCCAGGAAGCACTTAGATGGTTTGGAGAACAATTCATTACATATAAAGTAAAGCAAATATGGTGATTTATACTATCAGGTTTATGAAAACATATTTCTAAGGAAGATGTACAATGCATTATCGTAGTGCATTTATAACATCTTCAGATGGTGATTGGCACAGGACTACAATTGTAAAAAAGGCTTTAAAAATTTCCACAAATTCAATGAGTCATTTCATCCAAGAATAACGGGAAACTATTGAAGACTTAAAATTGCTACTAAATCTTCTCAACCCAAGCCTTGATTAGTATTCAGTGGATTTACTAAACAAATCAATTCTGATTAACTTGACAATATTATAACAAGATTAACTATTTCTGAGATTAAATCACATTTGCAAGCAAAGACCACCTTGCCATGACTTTAGCATATTATAACAAATAATACAATTCTAGATTCAATGCTACTAAAACTACCTTGAGAATCAGGATTTCATTTTGCAAATGAAGTGAATTATGTCCTCAATTATTACCATTAGTGGTAATAACCCTACATCAACAGTACAAAAACACTGATATATGCTCATGTTGAAGAACAGTAATTTATAGCCTTGTAACCCATTATAGAAATTCAGCATTCAGAAATATTAGGCTAGAAAGAATACATGATTGCTGTGTAGCAAAATAAGAGCCATATCCCTCACTATTACCATATTTAGAATGGATTCTTATTTATTTAAATGTAGACAAAGTATTTCATAGGAAAAAATTAGAACATCAACAAAATGTTGAAGGCATAAGAATTATTGGTAGCATAGATAGAGTAGCTGTAAAATACTAAAATGAATTGATCACAGAATCATAAAACAGGGCTTGAGGAGAATTTGAAAGGTCACGTAGTCCATCACCAGGTCATAAAGGCAGAGTAAACTTAACCTACAAAATTCCTGAGGGATAATTCCATTCCTGACAGAGAATCTGATTAATCAAAATCATTTTGAATTCCTGTCTTGTCCTTCATTGTAATTCTATACCACAGCTGCACTTTTAGAACATTTTAAAAAAACCACACACTTAACATTTAAATTCATTTAATCAAAATGTGCATGCTACAGATGATATGCAAAGCAAAAATTATGTCTGCGAAGCAAATGTTTTGTTTGGAATGAAAACAGCCAAAGAAATTAATGAGAATATATATATGTGTGCATGTATTTAATCAGCAGTAACAAGTCTAATAGCTATTACATTTAAAATAAATTAAAACATTTCATGTTGATAATTTGAAGGGATCACATTTAGATTTATAATAGAAATTTATATTTTAAGATTCAATTATTCAAATCAAAGCTCATTTTGCAATTACAGAAGTTGTGTTGTTTCTGTGATCAAGCACACATGCACCTATGTATATTTATGCATACAGCACATATAAACACACGTGTACATATACACAGAGGAGCTACAAAGACCTGAAGTTTGACTTCAGGCTGACTCTACTTGATTGCTTAGCAAACATCATTCCTACACAAGATCGATGGTTCTATGTGGTATAAGAAAAGACTAATATACAACTTAGAAATGATAATTACCTTCTATAGTTATATTCACTTGCATGATTAGGAAAAAACTTTGCAAGTGAGTAACAAATAGGTACAGAAAAAAACGGCTAATTAAAATTGTTTTGTTTTGTTTTTCTCCAGCTTTCAGGGATAGGGAAGGTATTTCTTTGTTTCCTAAATATCTGATTTCTATTAACATCATTTGTTAAGGATGTTTTATATGCTAAGAAAACATGTCTCCACGCATAAATAACATAGAAACTTTTAATTTTGAAATTAAAATTTTTAATTTTGAAAATAATTGTTCTTCTCCTGGAGACTGACAATAACATTAACTTTTAACGTAGAGGCAATAGACAGAGCAAGAAAATAATCACCGAACTGTTGCCACATGATCAAAGCATACTGAAAATCAAGTTAGGAAAATTAGATGCTTTACCATGTAAATCTGAAACACAAGTCTGCATAAAAATACTAACATAGATTTTTATAATAAGACTTAAATCAGAATTGCATTTCTAACACATAAAGCTGACCCACGGTTATGCTGCTATTTTTTTCCTTTGCCTTGGGAGTTCTCAAGGATACACGGGTATTAATTTCAACTTAAGACTAATTCTGCTGCTCACAAATGAGGCTAGATTTGCCTTCTCATTTTCTGCAGAGGATAGTGAAATCTTTTATCAATTCATAGAGCAATTTCAGCACAAATACTTACCATTTGCATTTCCCTGTACAATCCATGTACTATGCATTAGTACTGACCGTGAGGGACAGCTCATTCATGGGCAAGGAGATCTGTGTTCATTACAGCCCTTTATCTTCTGAGACTATCAATAAGGATGCTAGCTAGGGCAGATACAAAGCTGCAAAATCTTTGGCATTAATTTTTTTTTTTTTTTTTTTTTTTTTTAAGGCACGTTATTCTTTGGAGAGCTACAGACTTCTTTGTGCATAGGAAATCTGAATAATCTCCTTTCTTTAAAACTCTAAAAAAAAACACATTCTGTCCACTTTTAATTAATACTAAGATGGGTTATCTTCTTCAAATATAGGTGCTTTGTAGGCACCACATACTAACCTTTTTTCAAACTTCTCAGACTCATTATTTAGTTGTTTTGTTGCAGTGCTCATTCCAAGAGGCTCTGCCAGAATGGCTTATTCTAACGTTTATGAAACACAGAATCACCATCCACTCCAACCATCCACCTATAACCAACATTACCCACTAAACCACATCCCTCAGTACAACATCTAAGCACTTCCTGAACACCTCCAGGGACAGTGACTCCACCACCCCCCTGGGTAGCTAATAACCACTCCAATAACCAACAAAAATTTCTCAAGACTGCATCACAATTTACTCATTTCTGCAGCACACTATAGGTTTCAGCAGTTTGTTTTTTTTTTTTTTTTCACCTGTTTTCCTTTCTAAATGTATTTCCTGATGGCGAGCACAATTTTCCACTGTCCACTGAGCAGCTAGAGCTAAGCAAACAAAGTCAATCTTTTCATCTCATCAGACAGGCTCTTCATGACACCCTTCTTTGCAGTTATATGAGTTTTAGGTCACGATATTGACCACAGCATGGTCAGCGCTGGATACATTGCTCTAGAGGAAAGCTCACTGGTATCTGTACAAAGTCACCGTAACTTCCCTGCATGTGATAGAGATTCATCCATCACTGAATGGCATTTGCTATTTTCACAGCTCTATTACACTGCTGATTTACGGCCATCCTATCACCAGCTATTACATGAATCTTCCTCCCTCTGCTGATTTCCCAGTTCTTAGCTTACTTTCTCCAGGCTATGAAATGCAATGCATTCCATAACCAAACAGGTAAGTCTGACAAACTGATGGTTGGATTTTTCCAGTGAGAGTTTGATTTCAGAAAGGAAAACATAGGACTTATTCCCTCATCCAACCAATAAAATTCCTGTAATAATTCAAAATATCCTCAAATGAAAACCACATAAATGACAAAGCCACATTACAAATAAAACTTAATTTAAGCTTAATTAAGAATGCCACATGAGACAACACTGAGCTTCCCAGTTCCAATGCTAGTGGTCACAGACTCATCTCTTCTCTATCATTACTCTCCATGTTCCCAGCTAGTTATGAGAGCCTCAAAAGACCTGCTGCTCTTTTCTGACAAAAGATATCTGTCATCAATAGAAATTTCCTTTCAGACCCAGATAGTTACTTAGTTCAGCTGTAAAACATTATATTCCTCCCTTATCATCCTTGTGTTTAGTTTTTGTTCTCCCATTGCTTCTCTTTATCACTTACTTCTGTTTTCCAAGCTTTCAGTCACAACATCCATAATCACCCATCTAATTAGCCTTGAAAGAAAGAGTTCTCCTTGCAAAGCTACATTTGGCCCGGTGGATGAGTGAAACCTATTAGATTATTATGCATCTAAGAAACCAAACACTGTGTAGCATAATAAGACAATTTGCAGGGGACAAAGTTTCGCAGTTCAGCAACTCTTTGGCAAAAAATAAAGCTACTTATAAAAAAAAGAACAATATTACATGGTATAATGAAAAAAACGCTATTTTTTTCCCTGGCAAATACAACTCTGCTTTACAGTTGACCATATTCATGTGTTATTATTTTTCACTCCTTATTATTCTCCTCAATTTTTAATTCTTCCTTATAATAGGAAAGATATGCACATAATCATGCCCAGCTCACACATTTCATTGCCAGACCCCAGACTCTAAATTGTTCACTGGATAACTTGAAGCCAGCCTGCTTCCAGTACTCATTGCTCCCCTAGCACCCAAGCTGGCTCTTATACCTCAGGTGCTCCTTCGATTGATCTTTGGAAGACAAACATGTTATTGAGTCTCTTATGAGGAAAGCAAAGCAGTTTCAGAATTGCTTAGACAGGACAGAGGAATATGAAAATAAACTATCAGGTATTTGTAGTATGCTGTGGTTTAAAACCAAATGAAAGAGTGGAGAATAAACATAAATTAGTACAATATATACACAGAAAGGTTGCTTTCTTAGACATTGCTACTATGGTAGACCACAGGCATCCAGATTAAAGGAAAAGCATTGATGGCACGCTTCAACAGGAGGTGAGAGTAGAAAAAGCAGTATTCAGATTTCAGAAATTACATTGAAAGGATCATTACCAAGATAGAGAACTATTCAAGA